ATATATATATATATATATATATTTTCATTTTCCGATTTTGCTTTTGGGTACAACTTTCATTACCGATTCATAAAAATAATTGTTGCCAGAACCCAGGAATATTCAATACCCAAGCGGGTTTTCTGGGATTGAACCAGGTACCTAAAACAAGGTCACTGATACACTAAGCAAATATCAACATAGATAAAATAATTGATTGATCAAAATATACATACAGTACATTGTTCACTCATAAATATGTTGTTCAGATAGATACAAAAAAATGTCTTTAAGTAGTATAAAACACCAAAATTAGATCAGACATAATATTAGTAAAACTTCTAGATTAGAACATCCTTAATATATATCCTTGTGAACAGAAAATTAATGTATTTATATTCACAAAATCATATGTACTGATTTACAAGAACTTACAAGAGTATTCATCTATTAAGAATACATTAATAGACTTGCTAAGTCTGGTTTCCATAAAATCGCTACACTGTCGCTACAGTGTTTTTGTGCAATCGATGTACTGTGTAACAGTCTCCGGTGCAATTGGGAAGGATCCCCGATTCGACCAACCAATCTGCATCACAGAAAGCTGTCGGCGATTATATAAAAACAAAATGAAATTATATAAGAGCACCTGTCCTGCATACATTCTGGTGTTCTATGTTATTTTCCAATGAGCGTCAATTCCTATCTTTTACTAATTTCTAATATATATTCACATAGTATAAACTGTGTATACTGTCCAATGATTTTTGTCTTCTATCTTCTGAGAATTAAGATTATTATTGTAGATCAAAGAAAAATTAACTCAAAGAGATTTCCAATCTACTTAAATCTGGTATATTTCCCAGAGGTGGTCTCAGTAAATATACCACCAACAGGTACTGTGTTTAAAATAAATCTAAGGGGACTGTCTATAGCCGTGATATTTTTGTATATTTAATCCTAAGGTATGTTATAATCTTGTTATTTGTATTTAATGTCCTCAATGTAAATATTATAATTACTGATAATCTCACATCTGCTTCTTATCATCGTAATGACTTAAAATAAATTCTTTTTATAATATACAATTTATACATACAGTAATCGTAAAAGTCATATTCTTAAAAAAACAAAGTTACACAAAATACAAGTCTGGTGGGGGTAGATTCATTTGATGTAGGTTAAATGAGTAGAGCACCTTCATGACATGCCCAAAGCTCTTGGTTCAATTCAAAAAGAGACAATATCTTCTTTTATTATTGATACATAACTTTAGATACTATATACACTGTGTACAGTGCATAATTTAACTACGATAAATATTATCGCCCCATATCAAAAAAATAACAGCGAAGAGACTAGTTAACATTAAAAGGTTGGACTTTTAAATTTAATATGGATGCTGTACAATGCACAATTTGTTGGCTGCATACTGAATATAATAAATAAAATAAAGTTTTTATTTCATGTGAATTTTAAACATCCAACCTAAACAAAACTGATTTCCTGTAATGATGATAAATAACTCATTTACAAAGTCAATTTAAAGATATACTGTCTTGAGTTAAAAATCACATAAAACATTTCTCATTTCAAAGGAACAAACAAGTTAACGCATTTCCCCCTAAATTTCAATTGACAGATAAAAACTTACTTAGAAAAACAAAGTAACAAATATTGAATTTTATAATTGAAGTCTATTTGCTTTACCCAGACAATTTATCTTTAAAATTGTGGAGGATATATTGCAAATATTTTAAAATAAAATAATGTATGTAATCCAGATGCAACCTCTATACACTAGAATGGTCATTTTCTGAAATCCTAAACAAAATTCCATAAATGTTGAAAACTCAAGTCTACCAGATGCACAGAGACCCTTGGTATCTATTCAACATGGTTGCAATCCAATGAACACTTGGCTTTGTCAGTTCATGAAGAGTTGTGTGTAAAATTGCGGTGATGTCAGGCGTTTGCGGTATTTGCTTACCATCTCCTGAATTTTCTGACGTCTTTTCACATGAGGAGGAAAATGCCTGAAAAATTAATTTCAACATCTTAATATATTTACATAATATATTATTTCGATACAGCTATAATTACATTTAGTCACTGAAAATAGATAAGTAACTGGCAGCTATTGACTAGACAATCTAGTCAATAAGCTTAAATTAACAATACATTCCATAAGTTGTAGTGTTAAGTTAAAATTATATTATCAGCTAGGCTGCATTCATCCTTATTCACCTGTTGAAAAATAAATCATCCCGAAAGTTGGATATAATATCCTCAATAATAGCAGATGCATAACTAATACCACCTCAAATATATTGTGTAGCACATTATGGTGGCAGCCGACAGACTATTATATAGTAGAAATTTAACTGAATTATTTTGATCTGCATTATGGGTGTTGACAGATTATTTGATTCTTTTAATTGAACAATTACATTTTTTAATGGAATCTTTCAGATTTTTCCATATTGTAAAACTTAAGACATTTGGTAAGCAGATTATAATAGTCGATGTTGGCTCATGCAGCAAAAACATCTTCGAATCCTGAACCTCAATTCGTAAGTGCGTTACAGTCTGTAAAATCAGGGTTATAACATGACATAATCAATATCGAACTTATTTCACCAGGGCACTTTTTCACATCCAATGTCCAATCAACTTAATTTTTATAGAATAACAACAAGATGGAGTCCATACTCACATATCGCATTCCAGACGTTTTCTATTGCATATATTAACACAAGTCTGTCGCACAAGAGTCCCGAGTGAACGTCGACTGACTACCATGCCATCTACCAAAGGGTTGGTGTTCGCAGCACTATAAAAACAAGTATTGATTAAAATACATGCTGAAATCACCAATATACATGATTTCACTATGTATATACTCTCCATGTACATTAGTATTATGTTTGATATTACTGTCAAATATTAATTTTTATAATCACTGTTGATATATATTTCAAGTTATTTTTATAAAAATTATTTGAGTTATGAAAAAACATTAAATTTATATTTATGTCCTCTTCATCAGTTTAATAATTATCTGATTCTTCTTTTTTTGTATTGGTAATTTAAGACTTGTTTACTGAAACTTTTTTCAATCTCATGGTTCCGGATTTAAATCCCGTAAAATTAAAATTGGCTAATACTGTAGTTGAGGTTGAAATGACTAACCAGCCATGGAGTTGTATTCGGTAGAGGCCGCTCTTCAGTGGCTGTATAAATATGACGGCCACCTGGTCGTTGCTGCGCGGACTCCTCAATGAACTGCTACTGTTCCCTTGCAGGTATTCTAGGCCAGTGCTAGTCTCAGCCAACAAGTCACCTATGTAATAATAAACCACATCAAACATTGTTGCTTAAATACAAATACTATGTTAGTTAGTGAAACTGTGTACTGTGTGTGAACCAGTAGAATTTGTATACTGTATGTAGAACAGTGAACATGTGTACTGTGTGTGGGTCAGTGGAAATTGTGTACTCTGTGTGTACCAGTAAAATTGTATACTGTGTGGACCAGTGAAAAAATGTATTGTGTACAAACTAGTGAACATGTATACTGTGTGTGTGGTCCAGTGAAAATGTGTACTGTGTGTGTACCAGTAAAATTATATACTCTGTGGGAACAAGTGAAAAAACGTACACTGTGTGTGGACCAGTGGAAAAAATGTACTGTGTGCAAACTAGTGAAAATGTATACTGTGTGTTGGCTACTATACTGTGTGTGTGGGCCAGTGAAAATGTGTACTGTGTGTGTACCAGTAAAATTGTATACTCCGTGGAAACAAGTGAAAAAATGTACAGTGTGTGGACCAGTGGAAAAATGTACTGTGTGCAAACTAGTGAAAATGTATACTGTGTGTTGGCTACGATACTGTGTGTGAAACAGTGAAAATGTGTACTGTGTGTGTACCAGTAAAATTGTATACTCTGTGGGAACAAGCGAAAAAATGTACACTGTGCGTGGACCAGTGAAAAATGTACTGTGAGTGAACTAGTGAAAATGTATACTGTGTATTGGCCAGTTTGTGTACTGTGTGTGGGCCAGTGAATATGTACAATATGTGTAGACCATTGGATATGTATACTGTACTGTGTGTGGACTAGTGCATATGTATATTAGTATTCTGTATGAACCAGTAAAAATTTACACTGTATGCTGACAGGCAAAAAATTACAAAGTGTGCAGACCAGTGAATATACCTGAAAATACACTTGCTTTATGTATAAAGGACGGTAAAAAATGTATGTCTTCAATCTGTAGTACTGATTTCATTTTCCTACATGGACACATTTTTTTTATTGTTCCAATTCAAATTATATTTAAGTTGCTTTAAATCCAGCAGAGATTACTTCCAATAAAGTTAATTTTCAGTGGATTTTTTATCGGCATGAAATCAATGCCCCTGGGCTGACTGAACTATGTATGACTTCATTAAAATAAATTAATAAATAAATGAAAAATCCACTAGTAGTTTGATCCATCAATCAAACATCCATTATTTAGCAATAAAAACATGAATGTCAATTTGATCTACTAGACTTTCCAGATGTGAAATTTATAGGGATGATATAAAAAAAGTCTGTAGTAGTTAAATTTGGTAATTTGTTCACCTTCTAATCTCCCTGTCTTGTGTTGAAATTCTGTAAACCAGGATTTTTATATACTTCATACTGTACTTAGAAATTCACAAAAAAAAGTCCAGGATTTTAAATGTCCCAACTAAAAACAATTACCTGGCTGCTTATTAAATAAGAGTTTACAGAAATTTTTAGGTTGGTGGTGAAAGTTCCAGCATATGGATGATTTCACTTACTTAGGGGAAACATCTCGCCATCTGCCAAGCACTCCAACCAAACAACCAATACCTTCATCTGCGAACCACCGATCATACCTGCCCTTGTTGATAACTTCCTCTTTTTGTCTAGACTAGGGCTTACTTGAGCTGGTCCAGAAGTCTCTGATGGCAAGTCTAGGGTTGATGGTCGCTGGTGAGGGCTCTGGTACAGTGGTAGGCTCTTCGATCCATACGGTGATAGGCTACATTTACTAGATGGCTGCTCAGACACTGGATGGTAATGAAGAATGAAACAAAAATTTCAATTGTGATTATAACTATGATAGCATGGCTCGAAAATCTATATTTTTTTACTTTAAGATCTTTCTTAGCTATAGAGTGGTGCTGCAGCCCGGTGGTAGATGATTGCCTTCCTACCTAGGATCCTTGATCCAAATCCGGCTAACACCACAATGCTTTCTCATGAACAACATTTCCCCTTTCTAAGCCTTCATATTGAAAATTTAAGATAAATTAGGCTCATAAAAAATGGTTAGTCATGAAGTGGGACTAAGACTTTAAACTTACATTCAACAGAATGTCTTCTATCCATCTGTTGGACTCGTTTTGATGGCACTACAAATGCCATTTCAGAGGTGCAGTCAGCATGGTAGAGAACCTGATGTTGACCATTGTAAAGACTGCCTCCATGGTCCATAAACGCATCAAGATCTATGGAAAGAAAAGTTTGGCAGAAATAAGTTTTCTATTTAAGAGCACATAGAAGGAGCTGCCAGAAATAAGCTGATTATGAATATAGAAAGATAGTTCTAAAGAGATATTGAGAAATGGGTAGTGACTGAGCATTTTACTGACAACTTACCAATGTTTGCCCTTGTGACATCAGGATCCATCTTCCAGCTTGTGCTAACATGACCTGACCATCCAGCATGCGTTGCTATGTCAACAGGCCAGCCTAGATTATTGAGGAACTCCAAAAACTGAGGTGACACTGTTGCATTGGATAACTAAAGAAAAAAATAGGTAAGAAATAAGATACGGTACTAATAAGTACTTCAAAAAACAGATCTATGGTTCTTTATTTCTATAGTAAAATATTGAAAAGCCCTAAAAATTCAATAAAAACACTGAAATGCTCATTTAAATGAATAAAATAATTTTACATATCAACTCAAATATTGATTTTACTGTTAAAAATTAAAAAACATGTATAAGGCATTATTAAATCAGAATGTTTTTGGACTTATTTGTGTACCTTCCTATATGAAAAATATATGCAAAATCATCTTACCACATTATTAAGTATTTCTGTTGGTGTCCTCTGTCCAGACTTTACATAGAATATAAAAGCTGTATCAAATGTTCGGCAAGGTATACTGTCCAGTAATTCTAAATCTGTATCAAAGCCAGGCAGTGTGGAGTCTAACATGACTAAAGATGGCGGCACAGAACTATTGGCAGGTTCCTATAATAAAACATGAAAATATCATTCATATTTTTTCTGGTGAATCACTAGATAAAAGGTAATATATATTGTTTGTATTGGGAATAAAATACGTTGCCTTAGACACCTTTTAGGCCTACTTCAGACGGGATGGTAATCATTTGCATTTGCATAATGACACAAGTGCACAAAAAAGGAACTTATGAGATTAAATAAAGGTTATGAGATTATAATAATATGTCAGTAGTAGAATGCAAAGTATATTGCCAATGCCTCAAGGCCCTCTGCTTGCTCACCTCCCTGGGGGAGTTTTCTATAATGTTAGTAATTAGCCTTATTAGCTTTCAAACCCACTAGGTCTCCATTTACACCCCTAGGTAAATAGGCAACATAGATAAAACGCATTGCTCAAGGACCTAAGCAACCCCTGACCTTAGGATTAAGATCAAATTATTGTGCACCTCTTTTTCCAATGGTCTGAACAATTCTTCACCTTTTTGGATTATGTGTGATAAGGTACATGTTGAGATTTAATTCCCTATTAGCAACCTTATAAATCAATATTATAAAATAATATTAATTAAAGAACAATCATAATGATGAATTATAACTTACTTTCAAAGTGCCTAAGGTGAGAAAGCCAAGGTGAGATAAGAGTAGCCTAGCAGGGCTGAACTCCTGCTTAGGCCTGGGGGGTTTGGCTTCAGTCCTAGGGTTCGGGAAACCTACATTGGCTAGCTCAGCCTCAGCAGATGATAGCACAAACGTCTCATATTCAATCTGTTTCTCTAGCAGCATCTTGAGTTTCTCGTGTTCTGCATGTGATGTGTCCGTCTCAATGCTTGCCATTGTTGGGATGCTTCTATCACTGAAATCCAAGAGAAATATGAAATTATTGAGGTAAAATGTGTTAATAATAGGAAAAAACTATCAATTATATATTTCATTAGTGGGAAATGTAACTTCTGCAAAATACATTTATCATCTCTACCTGAATAAATTGAATAAAATTTTTAACATATTTTTAATGAGTAATTAACTAACTTTTAATAAATTTAACAAAGTTTAATGAATTGTTTATACTGTATTCTACCTGACTTTAATATATTTAGAGTTTAAAATTTTATGGAAAACTGTTTTTATGCTTTTATCACCCAACAGAGGATAACAGATAACTATTACTTTTCTACTTACTTAATAAACAATTAATCAACTTACGCATCTGTTAGTTGAATTTTGTCGACCATTTCTGGGAAGTTTCTAGATGGGATCTCATGATGAGTGCCGACATTATCCATGGGTTGAGGGCGTGCTGGATACTTCAATCGTTCTTGTGCTGCTTCCTGAACAAATATTTTGGAAGGCAATTTTCAAAATTGATTATAATTTGAATATTTTGTTCATGTAAGCTATCAATCTATTATGCTCTTCATTCATCAAAAAACAGTGATTAAATATACATATATATGTTAAAAAGGATGAAAGCTATTAAATTCATATGGATTATTTTTAATAAGTAATTTCTTATTTCATTATTTATTACATTTTTTCATCCTCCCACCTTTTCTGACTTAGGCCAGTGGCGTGTCTGCATAACCCATGCATGCCGACCCATCAAACCTCGAAGAAGTATCGTCGCAGTAGGAAGTGGATCTAAGAAAATTTTCAACAGGTGTAGAAAAAATTATAAGGGCTCAACAAAAATGATCACATGAAAATGTGGGACTGCCACTGAACAATTACTCTGTATAATATTTTATTACAAACAAAATAACATTTTATTGCAAAATAACATTATATCAATTACTTAGAATCCTGGTGTTTGATAAAGAATTTCAAAAATCTGTAATGATATTGATAGTTTGCGAGTGAGATGCCTAGCTGGATAAACTAGCTATTGTAAATAATAGAAAAAGTGAGAATACCCTAAAATAATTAATGGAATAGTCAGCCCTGGCATTTAGTATATACTACCCTACAATCAAGTATACATCCTCCCTCCATACATTCTCCTTCACAATTTTGCAAGAACCTATAAACTACTGAAAGTGGTATGCAAGTGAATATGAGAGAGCACTCTCAAATTTATAAATGACAAGTCTGTTCATCCAGGAATGTACTATATCCACAAACTTAAAGGATGATAAAGCCCAAATATTAACATCATACCTTTTTCTTCTATTACAGGCTGTTCTAGAATTGCTAGCAGAGTGTTGTTCTCCAGAACATAATAACGGAACACCACATCACCTGTAGCTAGCTCCTGCTCTTTCACCAATTTCAAGATAGCTTCCTCGTCCAGCAAGGATACAACTGATGAAGGACCAATAGGTGACGGAAAACTTCCCTAGAATTGGCAGAAAATATAAACATTGATGTAAAAATTCAGTAAAGAACACATGACATTGATCAGAGTGTGCTGTCAATATAAGTCTATAAACAGTAATATGACATCATTTTTAATGGCTACAAATAGTAATAATGTCATCAGTTTGTTTCTGTCATTTATATATTATATCTATTAATGTATTATCAGCCTATTAACATATATTTTGTTAAATACTTTACCACATGATTAAGTAGACAGGCTAACACTGCTTCTGCAGCATCTTTAACCCTCATTGATGCTGGCTTCAGCTCCTTTTCGTGCTTATAGACCGGAGGTACACACCCCTTGGGGCGAGACTTGCTCCCTGATATGCCCAGTTCTATCACCTCCAAAACACAGTGTAAGCATTCCTGTAACAAAGGCAAACTTAATAAATTTGTTTTTTTGTAAAATTTAAATTGTCTGGCTGACATAAGAGTCATGGGAGTGATCAGTGTGAATATCAAATTTGAAAGTGTGGATTAAGTAGTACCTTATCTTTTAAAAGATATTCATGATTTACAATCCAGACAGTTAAACACTGGAACGCCGCAACAATGATGGAGTGAAGGTCTCGTGAATGATATTGCGAAGGACGACTGCAGAGATGGACGATATGTTCACATATCCAACGAACAGCACGTTTACATTCCAGTTGATCTAACAAGAAAAGAATGTTAAATACAGCAGGAAACAATAAGATGAATATACTAGCTACAACTGGTTACAACCAGATATAACAAGATATAACCAGTTAAAACTTTATCTTCTTCAGTATGTAACACCAAAATGAAACTGGCATGTTTTTTCCTGTTGAGTGTGAATTGGAGAAAAAATTAACATCTCAACGACCCATAGGTTATGATAGAAATAACAAAGATAAATTATATTAAAAAATAATATTTCTTATTAAAAAAAAGTATTACCAACCTTGTACAATGCTGACGTTTATCTTAGCTAGGCCAGAGAGCAGCTCAAGGGCTGCTAGAGCTACGTTGTACTCTGAAGACCAAGCAGACATCAGGCGCTGGCAAACAAGGTGGGTGCAACGAACAAATATACTCCAGGCAGTGTCTGTCATGAAAACAGGTTGAAAACAAATGTTTATTAATAATGCATATCATTAACGATAATGTGAACATTTAAAACCGGTTGATTGTATGTGAACATTTGGGTCTATCTCTAGGTCTGTGGTTGGGTACTTGTCTGTATATGTGCCTGGGTGTATTTTTGTATGCGTTTATATAACAATTTTTCAACAATGTTGTATGATAAAGTTAACATCAGGATTTCAATAATTACTCTTTTTCATTTATGTATTAAGGTTAATCAAAATAAATATAAATTAATGATTGGTTTCATTAGTTTTATCATGCAGTCAAAATATAATCATGCTGTTAATTATTTCCTTGAGTGAGAACATAAAATAAAATATGAATAGAATTATATTAAATATTATATATCAAATGAAATTCTGGATTAAAATGAAACAAATATATTTCCTTAAAAAAAAAAAATAATAAATAAATAAATACAGTTTCTCATATTTTAACTGTACATCATCATCATCATCAATCATTATCTTAATATTATAAATCATTTTTAAAAATATAATATTTGCACATTAATTTTGGAAACTTGCACAAGTTTTTTTTACAAAAAAAAATAGTCTTGTTATGTTAAAGAGATAATATATAATAAAATAGAATAAATATAATTACATTTCATTAGAAAACAAATATTTTTAAGTCAAACAATATTTGAAATCTAAAAAACATACATAAAATTATATATGATTGAACATTATTTTGTTAAATATTGAGATATTTCTTTTGTTTGTTGCTATTTCCAAAATTAAAATAAATATTTAATTAAAATTAACTTTTTAACTGACAGTATATTTCCTTCTCCAATAAATGAATTATGTGTGAAATACAAATAACAATACAAATGTTTTTTCATGAATATAATTAGTATGGAGCAATTACCCTTCTTTAAATATGATTATTAAAATGAAATTCTGAATTTACTTTGAATGGTTAAGTATGCTTTGATTAAATTGTCTCAGACAGTCACACCAGCAGAAATAACATGGATGATACATGATTGGTATGAGATAATCTCATATAAAGGAAAAACAGGAAATCAGAGTAATGATGGGAAGGGTTTCAGTTGATAATGTGATGCATTGTGGGAGTATGAATTTAAAATAATGAACAGGATATCATAGTAATAATGGGAAAGAATTTTGTGCATTATTTGTGAGAATAATTTGGAATCACATGTCATCACTGTTGCTTTGCTTATAGTGTTGACCGATTCTGAGACACTGTATAAGAAGAAAAGCTAGGCCTGTGATTTGAGGGCTATGCGGATACTCGGCAGCAGTTAGTGAGGCTCTCTGAAGGCTGAGCAAATCAAAGTTCCTGTTTAGCATGATGGGTGGGGCCATGCTGCATGCCGAAATCACAAGAATCGGTACCAAGGTGGGGGCCAACAGGGCTCCTACCACTTGTCAATGGTGTTAAGTCCACGATAGGCTCGCTGCTGCTACGTTGATGGGTCATCACTTTACCTGGGAACACAAAATATATGAAGAAAAAAACCATATGTATATAATGATAAAACACCATGTTACGAAACTTGCTGATGAAAAACAGAAATTGTGATTTTATTGTTTAAAACAAAATGTTAGGATTAAAGAAAAAAGCTTAAAAAATGCATGTGTTATTTAGTTACGGATAAACAAAGGAATGTTATGCAAATTGTAAATCTACCAGTCAACACAAAAAAAAAAAAAAAAAAAGCTATTTGCCCTTGTCTGCTTTCTAATATTTTTTTTTTTTGCAGCCACAATTTTGATATTTGTTTTTCAGTATTGCAATACTGTACTGCTTAGCCTAAGTAGCAAATTAATAACAGTAATGTTTATACCTCTGCCTTGGCCTGTTTAGACCATCACTGTTATTAAATCTGAAAATCTTAAGACCTAAAAGGGTCTACTTATATTGTCACTTGGCCTCAATTACAAACTTCCAACTTACCACAGAACATTGATATATTTCTTATTGTAAGTTTAACATTGTCAAAACATATATTTTAACAATTTTTATATAATTTTTATAATTTCAATATATATTTAATTAGATTGTAATTAAAATCAAAAGACCGAAGACTCTCTTAAAATAAACTTTTTAATGAATTAAAATGATACATTATTTTTTTTTTTTTCTGTCTTATTGCCTCAACTTGTAATATTAACATTTGCCTATGTTGTTTATGAATTTGACGAATATCGTTAGCATGTTAACACACAAAACATTTCAATTGAATTCCAATTCATATTATATTATCAATTCAATATGTTAATCATGAACACATTTAACTGCAAAAGCAAGCACATGACAATTTTGATCAAATTCATTGGTTGAAATATTATTGTTCGGCAACCAACCAGCCAATCAAATTGCATGTTACATGTTAGTATGACCACAAGCTTACTTGATGAGCTTTCTGATTGGTGGTTTTCCATAACTTCTTCAAGTATTGTGCTACCAAGCTCCCTGAGTGATGAAGAAAAACATAAAAAAAATCATCCAAAGATTAAAATTTTGTAGAAAAGTAGGGTTGTTAGAATAGCGCACAGCCTCCTAATCCTGGTGTGTGGGTTGAAATCCTTGCAAAAGTTTTCTGTACAAAAGTCATCCAGCAACTATAACCAAATTAATGGGGTTTGGGTAGTGGATAGCCATTCATTTGGGGCTCTATTACCAACTTATAAGGCTTGAAAAGTGGATAGCTAAACATTTGCGAATTTTTTAATCTTTAAGTGAGCAGAAAGCTATCTTTGGGAGCCTTCATGTTCTACAGTCAACTGTTTGGGAAGTAGAAAGTTGAAAATCGGGTCCATTGCTCCACAACAAGTCTGAAAGTTAGGGGTATAAAAGCTTTCTATAGGGGCCTCTGGTGTTCAATAACCAAGTCATTGGGTGCAGAGAGTATATTTCAGTATATAAAGATTATAAGTAAAACACATAAAGGGTATTACTCTATCAAGTATTTTTTTACCTGTGTGATTCTTCTTTTCTTTTTAGCTCTTCTTTCTGTTCAATGTCTTCACAAAGTGAGGCATCTAGGATACACAAATGGATAGCCCCTGCAATGGTAATGGAAGTAAATTATATGAATAATTCATCAAGAAATATAAATATGTATGAGATAAAGAATAACTGTTTATAATATATTAAGCAACTGTTTCAGGTGTGTTCACATAAGCATTGATGTTTGTGTTTGGAGTGGGGGTGGTGATTGTGTGTAGGTATGTGTGTGTGTGTTTGACGTACCAAGAAGCATCTGTGTGTTGTCCGGATCTAGTTCACATTGCAGAGCTCCAATCATTAGGTTCACGATACGTAGCTTGAGCGAACGGAACGTCACAACTCTCTCATTTTCCCCGAACACGCCAGATGTCATCATTGGTTTGCCCGTCATCAAATCTGGAAATTGTACAAAAGTACAAACACAGTTGTTAAAAAATGTTGTCAAGAATACAGGAAAGCTATACAAAAAAAAATGAAAAAAGCGAATGACACTTAAAATGCCATGTTCAGAGACGCTCGTTGAGAATTTAGTTCATTATTTAAATAGTAAAATAATAAAATAAATGATAATAACCATAGCATCAATAATAGCAAGGTTTTAATACAGTACAAATAAGAAAGAACTTTTATAATGCACATATAATAGGCTCTCTGTACTACAATCTAGGAAATCAGACAGATATGCAAATGAACCAGTTTTACAGTGGTCCCATGATTTAATATAACTAACAATTTATTATTATTTTATTTGTTAAGCAAACACACAGTAAATTAACAATTTTCACCACCCTTGAGACAACTTACCAATCACTGATAGTGTGTTGAAGTGATGTGGAATACACAGCATGGACAGAAGATGGTGGATGGAAGCTTGACGAAGTTGTTGCTGAGACACACCCGACCTACAAACATAAAAAATAAGTAACATAAAAAATTGTAATATGTGAATTAAGGAGAATAATGTCTGATATTTGAAATATAATATCAGATAACAATATTCTTCTGATGATTAAAATATATTATTAATAATCAAATGCAGTAGCCGGAAGATCTATTTTACGCAAATATTCACTGGGTTGAGGGGCATGATTCAAATCATAGCCAGAAGTGATCTGAAGACTGTACTATGTCCCAAAACAAAGTTGAAAGACACAGTACTGCCTCCAGATCACCAAGGGCTATAATTTGAACCACGCCCCAATCAAAATCCCAGTAAATATTTATTTACTATACCACTACATAGGTTGTCGGCATATTGGCCAGATAAGAGGGCATGGTTGGAACTATTGCCCGGCTTTTAACCAATCAAATGTCTGGAATCTAGGTAGTTGGTATATAAAAGTCAATATACACTTATGGTAAGCAAGCATGAATATCTGAATACAACAAAAATACCATAATATATTTATGTTGTATTTCATATCAATAATGTGTTATGCTGACTCACTTGAACTTCAATTCCTTTTCTGATAGCACCATCTCAAGAGCGGAGATGAAGTGAGGAAGAACAACAGATACGCCCTTCAGGTCAATACGAAAGAGATCTTGCGAATTGAAGAGAATGCTCGACAAGACTAGACCACTCACTGTCTGCGTTAAGAAAAAGTAATTAGCAATGGTTTACATTACATTATGGTATCACAGTTTTGTCTTAATTTTGGATATAATTACTTTTCTAAAATATTCTTTCATGTACAGGTTAGCATAGTCGTTAAAATTCATGAAACGTTCAATGATTTTAGGCGATTCATTTGAAGATCTTTGAGCAACACTCTTAGAAGGATTTTAGACAACCACGTCTAATACCACCCAAATTTGAACGTGGCATCAAATACCTGAGGCACTTACTTCATCTATCTTCAGTCCTTGAGTCAAAGCCAAATAGAATCGTGAAAGGTACACAGGGAGTATATTTTCCCCTTGATTGTGATTGCAAAATATTCGACACAAGGCCCCGCAAGCCTCGGCTCTTCCTGCTTCGTAATTATTTGGCGATTCCGATATATCATGTCGTCTGTATGGCGCCAGAATTGCAGTTATGTCGTTCGGGGATACTTCTGATATTTTGCGCATCTCAGAAGCCTGAGCGATGCGACGTCCATTCATACGGTGGGAATCCATAATTGCGATGGAATGTCGCTCTTTTGGAAAACGGCCTAGCAAATGGGGGGCAATACAAGAATTAGTATGAATATACAGTAAAATAATTAAATCCATTTCAATAATGATATACTTGGATAATTAAAGATTAGAACCGAGGACCTCTTACACACTATGCCTACCAACTGATCATCAATCCAATATTCAAAAAATGCTTTCTTTGAAATCTTAGTAATATGTGTTTCTGAACACTTTTTTTAACATTAACTATCAATGGTGCCAAAACAAACTGTACAAAAGTTTAACTATAGTTTCTAATATAATATATGTTACTGTACATAATATATAAATTTAATTTATATATAAGTATTTATATACTACATGAATCTACATTACAATATTTGTATTTAATAAATACATTACATAACCATATGTACAAATAGCATAATATCAAATAAATTAATCTAATTTCTATATTTTGATTGTTTATATAAAAAATACGAATGTTTACTAGCAATGTACCATATTTCTATCATCTTTACTCATGATATAAAACATTTGACAGTACATAACTACAAAACAAGGAGCAGCAAAAAACAAAATACATAAAGCAAAACATTAGAAAGCAGAACAAGAATATTAAAAGTCATGCAATTATTTGGGTGAACAAAATGATTAGTGGTATTGATCAACCAATGTATTGATAAGAAGTATTGGAAGATTAATTGATTGATTACTGTCAATCATGATTAAGTAGAGCTGTATTTCCTTCATTATAAGCCCACCTCTTTGAAAAAAACAGTTTTGGTTAAGATTATACACAAGGACCAATATCTGCAAACATTAGTAAGCCTGTAAGCCTGACAAGGCTACATAATTCTGATTGATTTATCATATTGATCACCAAAGTTCTGAAAATCTCAATAACATTTATAAACTGACAAATTATATCTAAGATAATTTGTTAATAAAAGCTTTCAAGTTTTGAATACACCACTCAGCAGAATTTAGTGTAATATATATCCCACCTATTTGAATTGGGCTGTAGACAAGAAATCAATCCTGTTATTAACTTTCAGAAAATACGTCGTAAAATACTGTCTGGAAAATTACAAAATTTAAGTCATTTTATTTGATTTGACTATCAGATCAATACATTGGTTTTTTTTATCAAGTTTTTAATCAATAATTAGTAAATGAATTAAGTAGCAAACATGTATCAACTATTAAATACTAGTAACAATGGAACACAGAACACGAAATGTGTGTTATCTGATTTTCAACCCTTGTTTGTCTTTATACAATACTTGTATTTTCATTTATATTTAGGAAATTAAATTCAATATATAAGTACACAAATCACTTTCATTGTTTTAAAATCAATATTTTGAGATAATGTGAAAAAATATATAAAACAACGACCAGTATATTTTGATGCTATTTTCACAAGTTCTTCCTGCATACAATATGCCAAATGATTTTATGCTTATTGCAATAAATTCACAGATAAAATCATTATTTCAAGGATATTTAATAAACAATATCATGAGATTTTACATATCCTTTTTGAAAGTGATTTTAAAAACTAATGTATTTTAATAAATCTAAATGGCTTTTTCAATGTTGTAATTCAGCATATGGTGCAATGATTTTATATTTGAATAAGTATTTCCTGCTTAAATAGTTCCTTATTGGTAAACCACCATAGTTCCTGCTTATTCTGCACTTTTATTTTCATAACCAGCATAACATACACTGTATGATTTGTTTGAAAATATGAAATTGCTTATTAGGAAAGGATAATTAGTAAACAGATAATGTTGATAAGTGCCTTAAGTTAACGAAATTAAAGGCCTTTTCCACTTGACATGGTAACAGATTGATAAAAAATACCGTGCAGAACTTTAAGACTCGAAATGTCCGAAGTACATCTACCAAATTATATGATTAGGTTGATTGGTCAGAAATATGTCATGGAAACACTTCAAATTAAATCAAAATCTACTGCTCACAGTTTGAGGGTGCCCCTTTACATATGAAAGTTAAGATGCATTTTAAATTTACCAGAATCTGTTACCATATCCAATAGAAATATGCATTAAGCAACAAATATCCATGCTTATATCAAGGGCACAAACTGTCATTAGCACATCTAAATGATGCTAAGCATTCAAAAATAGGCAATAACAAAATAGAGATTTTAGGATGTTTACATTTTTGTAATCCATAACTCACTGTAATATCAACATTATGTTGTGGTTAAATCTTTTATCTAAATTTAAATTTTAACTGTAGAAAAGAATATAAACCCAACAGTTGTGACATTAGTCTGCGACTACTATTTTGTTATCAACTAACAAACAATTGAAGAGAGTGCAGTGAAGAAAATATACAGTGCATGAACAAAAATGAAATATTTCCCCATTAAGATGAGAGCTTTTTTTTCTATACTCAATGCATCCAAACTAAAATGTTTAAATTGAAAATAAATTGCAACTTAATAAAGCTGGTGAAACCATGGATTGGAATTGACTGCGAAAAATTTGAAACTCACCCTCAAATGCTTAGATAAATATGAAAGCAAAAGAGGAACATTATGATTAAATAAAAACAAACAATAGATTTGTTTGATGTGTACCTCGTGATATGAATTATGTTATATTTACCAATAAAAAGAATATGATTAAGTTGATAAAATTAAATAATGATTATTAAAATTTCATTAATGGAATTAACGTAATACTGGTAAAAAAAATCAAAAATCAAAATGGTAATATGGAACCAAATGAAAGATAAAAAAATGGATGATTAATGCAAGGATAAATTAAATTATTTAAATTTTAAATGTATATTTTATTGAACAAGAAAATTGATGCAAAATAAAATATATAATCATTTTTTTGCTTATTTTTCAGTCTTCAAAATTAAGGGACAATATTTCAATAGTAAAAGTAAGTAAACAAATAGATCAATCAATATAAATTGATATACTGATTAATTTTAGAATATTGATTGATATTAATCAATAATCAATAATTAACCAATAAAGATTAATGTCAATCAATTTTTCTTTAATTCAATCAATATCAAAATTATTATCAAATGAAAATTATCAGTATCAATAAATTATAATTGATGATAATATTGATATTATCGATTTATTGATTAATAATATCGATAAAATAATGTTAATCAATCAATATCAATTGATCAGTATCAGGTACTACTATTGTTATTATTGCAAACAAAGAACACATAAAAGAAAACAGATAAGATTTATAAACAGAAAAAATAACATAAACAGAGGGGGTAATGCAATTACGTGCACTGGCCCATGCAACTTGTAATCTACAAAATTATCAATAAAATAATAAACTTTTTCCTTTTGTTTTTTATCGTATCTTCCCCATGTCATAAGAATTCTGTAACAGGAAAAATATTTTAAGAAAAACTTGTTAAACATTTCAATTTTTTAGTCTAAATTTCTTGATGACTGGTTCTCCAACACAAAGAAAACAAAAAAAATCATTTTATATGGACCGATTATGCCAAAAGGCCAAATTGTTTTGGTATTTTTAACATATTTGTCATTTGATTTTATCAAAATTCTATTTTTTTAAATCCCACAAAAACCACATAGTGCAGAGGGAGTAAGGAAAATCGATTAAATCGCACCTACATACATTACAGTTTAATAAGAGACGATAAAAATAAAATACATATCAAACTAATAATTAACTTGGTAAAACGGGAATATGTTTTAAGCACAAATTTAGGTTATTATTTGAACATGTATTTGTAGAGGGGTAGGAAAAATAATAAAAGAGGATAATATTAATTGACTTGGTACGAAACATTATTACATTATTATGTTGAAGCATTAAAATTACAATGTTTATTCAGATTTGTGTAAGAATCAGCATAGTTATATTAGATTTTAGGATAACATCAAATTATTGAAATATTTGGAGAAAGAATATAAACTTGCACTATTCATATTTATGTAATTTAAATATTAATTAACCTAATTGATACAAATTAATTAGTTTCAATGTTAAAACATTAAGACACCTCAAACCATGTAGTTTAGTTTGTTAAACGGTTGACAATTATTTTTAAGCTAGCTTAAATTTGATGAAAATTACCATCACAAAATACCACACATTTAGTAAATATGTATTACCTTTGTTATTTATTAGTAATTACATCTATATCAATCATTAAAGAATTCAATATATATCAGGGACGTAGCCAGGATTTTGAAAGGGGGGGGGGAGCCGTTATGTGAATTACGTATGACCCCGGCGGGGTCAAGGGGCGAATCCCCCTGTGAAGTAGCGCACTCTGAACGTTCTTAGGACTGTTTGAGAGGATAAAGTGAAAATTGCAATAGTCGCATTATAAATAAGCGAAAAAATAATTATATAATAAATCAACAGTGGCAGATCCAGGAATTCGAAAGAGAGGTGAACCAGGGAGGGACTTTTACAGACCGAGGAACTACCCACCTCAGCCCCACCATGGTTGGGGGTGAGGTAAGAAAATTTATGATTAGGGCATCTCTAGATGGCCGGAAATTACACTCTCGCACTTCAATTTGAATATATTTCCTTATTTTTCCTTAAAAAAATGAAGACGAGGGGGTGGTGCCGCCTTGAATCCACCTCTGCTCAAAACATTCTTTAACCAGAATAGTCATAATCATGAAAAATGGACATGAAAAACCAGATCACATCCTAAAAACAAACAGCAGTCACTAAGACATACATCAGGAGCCGATTCGATGGAGTTTAATGTCATACCCAGGGAAGGGCACAGATCTGTTTTGAAAGGTGGAGGGGGGGGGGACATTTTGTAAGTCGACACCCACCCCAGCCCCACAATGGTTCGAGCTGAGGTGAGAAAATTTGAGGAAATAGTACCTCTAGATGTCCAGAAATGACACTTATAGTAAAATTCATCATCATCACATCACCATTAGTCAAAATGAAGCGCCAAAAGAAATTCTCATGATCTTTTATCAGGGATTTTTGACAACTATAGAGATCCTATTAATGTGTGTGTATATACACCATAGAAAACAAAGCTTAAAAACATTGTCTTTGAGTATGTACTTTACATAGGCCTACTTCAAAAACGTGATTTCACAACCACCTCAGCCCCACCATGGCTGGGGCTGAAGTGAGAAAATTTGAGGAAATAGTACCTCTCGAGATGGCCGGAAATGACACTTTTATATAATAAAATTCATCATCATCACATTTACCATTATAGTCAAAATGAAATGGCAACAAATTTCTCATGATCTTTTATCAGGAATCTACTTAATATCCAGGACAACTTAGGCCTGATTATAGCTTACTAAGCTTTAACTATATATACTATATTATGATCAACAAATCACAACTTTTTTCGCATTTAGCACAATTTTCTCGTGGCCGACATAGTAAACGGCCTACACGACGACCGAAACCGCGAAGCTTTCAGAAGTCTTATCGACTCTTTATTAGTAGTAGTATTATTAAACAAACATTTAAAAAAAATATTTAATTATCTTTGCAGGACAACCTACTCGTCTCATGGAGCTTGGTCAGGTCCTCCAGGAATGGTCGACGAAGAGAGATCCTCATCACAAGCTAATCTACGACAACAAAAATTAGAGAAGCAGGTACATTATATAATTGTTACATTGGTATTCATAATTTTATGCTCATTATAGTCAGTAGATGCATACTATATTGGTGCTAAAGTTATTTATGAGGGAGGGGACTTAACAAATAACATGTGGTTTTAAAAGATAAGTAAAAAAAAACAACATTTGCAACATATTCTGTAATAAGCCAAGCATTAAAATTCAGTTCATTTTATAATTAATTATTGGAAGACATAGTCTTATAATTAAAATATAATGAAAATGCAGTACCAGCTAAAAAAAATGTAGAAAATCTTTTTAGCCCCGGAATTACTTCACCAGGGTTTAGCCCTGCCCAGGAAATAATTTGTATTGGCTCAAGAATAAGCTTTAAAATTTTAACACTGTGTACAAAGGGGGGGGGGGGAGCCGCGGCTTCCACAGCTCCCCCCCTGGATACGTCCCTGATATATATTTTAATTATTATAGCAATTAAATTAATTAATGACATGGTGATCATTGATTTGATTATTAAAATGTATAATTCATGATGATACATACCATGGGGTGATTGAGACGATGACACAGCGAAATGGACGCGACGAGGTTTGCTACCCCCAACGCTACCTTCACCACTACTAACTGTGTGTAACTTACATCCAGAGACAGCGCCCTCAAACAACCACGCACCAAACAGGTGTAGAATGCTGTTGCACTGCGATCTTTTTTCCATCTGCAGCAACTGTATCATGTTGAGTCCCTCCGGGGTTGGTGTCAGCAACGGGGAAGGGGTAACTGACTTGCTAGGCTTTTCACGGTACACCGACGTGGAGTAGTTCATTTTGGAGTGTTTTACGCTCTGAGGTGGGGTTTTGTTGTTTGGATTAGTCTCTACAGCAAGGTTTTTCTCCGGTTCACCTAGAGGGAAAATTTTAATAATAAAATAGTTTTTATGATTATGATGATAATGATGATGGTCTTAACATGATGATGGTGAGGATGATAGTTATGTAATACTCAATAACGATGATGATGATGATGATGATAAAGCTGAGGATGATGATGCAGATGAGGATGATGATGACAATGATGATGATGATTATGATGATGAGAGTGATATGATGATAAAGCTGAGGATGATGATAAAGCTGAGGAAGATGATGACAATGATGGGGATGATGATGTAGATGAGGATTATGACAATGATGATGATGATAGTGATGATGTAATTCGTTGTATAATGTTGCCTATTTTATATTGTATTTTATCAACTTTTTATGTAAAGCGCATTGAAGAGAAATCTGAAAGTATGCTATATAAATATATATTATTATTAATTATTAATAATGAAGAGAATGATGGTGATGATGATGATGGTGGTGGTGGTGGTGGAGATGAAGATAAATATGATTATGGTGATGATAATGATTGTGATGATTTGGCTAATGATGATGGTATTGGTGATTATAATGATGGTAATATAGTACAATGACGTTGACAATACCTACAATTAGGCACTTGAAAGCTAAAATGACATATATAACAATTGTTACCAATGAATGCATTTGAAAGACTGGCAATCCCTTTCATTGCAAGTAGGAAGTTCTTAGGCAGTGCACTGAGGCATGGATGTTGATGGGGTTCTATCACCGCATCGCCACTGAAAGCTGCATTGTGAAACATCGGAGTCTTGCTCACAACCTTTGGTTTGCAAAGGTCAACAGGGTTCGAAAGGATGTGCAGAAATCTAAACCATGTTTGCGCAATGCAGGCGTCATCCATTTCTGTGGAAATTATCTGAGCATCTTCTTCAGCTGTGAAAATTTTAAAAAACCATTATTCGTTAATTGTAGTGGAATGACCACTGGTGATAATACTTCTTTCACCACTCTGCACAGTGCCACCAAAACATGACTTCATTGTCATATATTTTCAACAGTATAAACAACAAGATGATGATAAGAAAGATGGAATGCTTACAAATCCTAATCTCTGGAAAGTGAGGCCCATAGAGTATCTTCAACAGGTGAGATGTCAGAACACGATTCACCCTGTTCCACTGTTCAATTAGGGCAGTGTGGTGGCGCCATGCTACGCAGTATTCACGGAAAGTTCGCCACAGAGATGGTGACGGGAAACACCTTGTGCAGGCCAAAAGCCAAAGTTCAAAGAGTACACTTAGCAGACGGTCACACAGCTGCTCAGATAGGCTTCCTATAGGAGTTGAAACATCAAGGAAATAGATGTTTTTAATAATGCATTTTGTGTTTGTTATTTTATAATCAGGAACACAAACAACAGCAAAAGCTGAAAAAAACTGAGGCAGTGAACAAATTTTAAACAAATAATTAACAGAAAATATGAGCTGCAATAATTTAAAGCTCTGTCCACACTATTATAATTTTCTGCCCATATATAGTCATGATGTGCCTATATATGGTAATGATGTGATGTCATCATGCCCATATATAAGCATGTCACATGTTTTTGTCAAATAAAATTTAATAGTCTGGACAGGACATCTTTTACAACTTGAGATTATTAATGTTCTACAGAATTCAACAGAGTGGGTATTAGGCTTACTCCAGTCCTAGGAAACTGAAAGTTTGCAGCAAACTTGGGACCATTGTTTTTGGCTGATAATTTATGTGATCATTCATGTATGACAGCACGTACCTGCTTCACTCGGCGGGGAAAGGATAGTGTCATTGACAGCTAGTAAGAATTGTAGCAAGACTTCCCATGTTTGGCGTGTGAATTTACCGCTCTGTTTCGCAATTGTCTGAACCGTCCGTAATACTCGATGACACAACACAATCTGCTTGTTAGAATCACCTGAAAAATAACCAACATTCAAACCTTAAAAGACACATATTGTAGTTAGCTCTGACCATACAATTTCAATGGCATAGTATCCTATGTTTTTTCATGTATTATTATACGTATATATTTACAGGGTGCCTTTTCTTATTTTATTTTTTTTTATGATGTGAAGCACATAGTAGCAATTTCATGCATTATGCACTATACAAGTGTAACATTATTATTATTATTATTATTACTATTTATATTATTATTATTATTATTATTATTATTATTATTATTATAATCATTATTATTATTATTAATTAGTCAGTGTAAATATTATAATTTTTGTGTTATCAAATAATTTTGTGTTATTTGTATGACAATAATAAAATTTAATAATAACCAATATAACATAAAATCATGAATCTCATAATTAGTAACAATAATTATAATATACATCCATTAGGAGTGTTACTGATTCAAAATTACCCCTTTCTCTAGGTTTAAAAAGATTGACAAAGTGCTGAAATATTTTCTGCACATAAGGGTTTGGGTCGTTGACAATCGAGGGCGGGACCGTTGGTTTTGGGACAGTGAGTGCGGTGAGCCATTCAACGTATATGTTGACACAATCACGTATTGCTTCATGTTCGATCAAAGGCAGGCTAAGGCCGAAGCAGATCACCTGTTAAGAAAAGAAAGAACTGACAATAAAAAGGTCATAGGTCATAGGTTTGTATTAAAGTATATTGCTTATCTAAATGAAGTTTGCACATCCCTTGCACCCCCACCCATTGAAAATGTCTGAAACAAAACAAAAAAAATCCCACTAAAGTAGTTAAAATCACATATCTGAACTGTAGCCACCACCACCACCCCCTTCCCCATGTAATCATTGATCCCCTCCTTAACTCCACCCCCATCTCCATCATTCCTCTTCCCTCATTTCAAGACTTTCTAGGTAGATAAGCCACTCACTGTAGGCTAGCATTAAATCCAGGCTCTGGAGGAAATAAAATTTTATATGTTGTACAACTGATTTTTATAAAGACAAAAAAAAGCATATTTAATAATGAACACTAGGCCTGCCCTAGGGAGCTGTTTTTAATGTCGAGATACAAATTTTTAAATATTTAAAAACTGTGAATAAGTAAAAAATATACTGTTCTTGCAATATCAAATGTGCAATTTATACGAAGAATCAAAAACCAACATACCTCCATTGTCCATTCAATTTGCTTCTCATTCTCAAGATTGCTAGGCAGGGGTTCATGTTTCGCAGAAGCATTGATGGACAGTCGGCCAGCCAGCTGGCGTACGACGGACACTGCTACATCTCTGCCAACTCCCGAAGAGTAGCTATGTAAAACACTCTTATAATTTGATTCATTTTCAATGGTGGCCTGCAATGAAGCCCATTCGGAATACATAATCTATTGAAGAACAGCAAAGTTCCTCCGGTACTGACTCAGTTTAAAGCAGAGAGTTCGTTTTAGGAACTAAACATAACCCTACCATCTAGGCTAGGCCTTGCCTTTCCCCAGTCAACAATGCTGATTCTCCCGTCTCAAATGATTTGTTTACGCCGCCCTCTATAAATAAACAAAAGTTTTAAAGCCGAAGATATTCACACGGCGATGAAGCCTGGAGAAAAAAAAAGTATTGTAGTCAGACGTATTGTATAATTTACACGGTAACGTCTACATAGACAATTCTCAAATGATAAATATTCAAGCACAACACAAGGCCAAATTAGGAAGTCTGTGTTTGATGCTCAAAAATAGTAAGATTATTTATGAACTTTTTACATGTAATATTTATTGATCTATTGGATTCACTGCTATTATAATATCTATTTTGTCTGTTAGACAAATCTTGAATATTCGTCAAAATTAGATGTCCTTGCTTGCATGCCGCATATGCTAGGCCTAGCCTAGGCCGGTTTTGGCTGCAATGCACAATGTATGCCAGTCTGAGCCTACGTAGTATGCAACCTAGTTCTAGTCTTCTGAGTCTAATAATAGGCCTTTAGCCTAGAGACCTTTCTCCAAGATGGTAGGTTTAGGCCTACTGTAGCTTACATTTTTCTCAAATATGTCATTGTACCTTTGGTATACGTTTTTCAAGTAATTATAGAATTAAGAGCAGTAGTAACCGACTTTATTTAATATTTATAATTATCATATTATTTTATAATATATTAGGGGCCTTAGATTGATTTTTGCAATAATTATGATGCCAGAAACCAACACAGACCAGGTCACAGAATACAAGAAAATGGGCAATGAAGCTTTCAAAAAGAAACAATACAAGAAAGCAGTTGAAAACTACAACAAAGCATTGGAACTTGGGTAAGTTCTTTCTACTTTGAACAGCTACTTAGTCTATATCCATAACCTTCATTATTGTAATGAAAGACCTCCTCAGTGTTAAATATTCTTGTATATATAATGTCTTGTAAAAATCATTGGTGTAGACTGGGGTTACAGATGTGCATATTTATATCAAGTTTTCATGCTTTATAGTCTATTTTCATCCTGTTATTGGTGTATTACTTTGTTCGATTTTGTTAAATAAAATACAAATATATTGAAATCCATTGGTAAATATAGGAATCAATTTTATTTTTTTTTCTTAAAATTTAAATTACAAGGGTCAAAGGACAACCTGCAGCTGCTATTTATAGTAACTTAGCGAATGTTCACACAAAGCTTAAAGAGTATGATGCAGCATTGGAAAGTTCAAAGTTGGCCATCGAAATGGATTCAAAGTGGAAGAAAGGTGAGTGACCTTAGCTGATAGCAAGGGTGACGGTTTTGGGATAATGAGAATCTGTGATGATGGTGAGAATCTGTGATGATAACTAACATTAAGGTGGCAGTCAAGGTTATGGTGATTAAGTTTAATTAAAATTCATCTTATTTTTGATTTTCCATTCACAATCTTTTTTTTTGCTAGTGAAATAATAGTTGATCATGATTTATTAATCTCATGTCCTCTTATTTATATTTAAGGGTATTACTGGAAAGGTGTGTCGCACCTGTATTTAAAGAACTTTGAAGATGCATCCTCAGCATTTCAGGTTAGTTGATCTTGCATTCAAAAAATTGTAATTGGTTGCTTGATTGATTGATTAGTTATTTAATTGATTTATTTTATTTTATTAATTGATTTTCACAGAATGGTTCTGTTGTTGATGAAAAAGACAATGAATTTAAGGAGAAGCTAAAAGCCGTTGAATTTTGCAAGGAGAATGAACCTCATTTAAATTTTTTAGATGTCACTGATTGGTTAATCGTTGCAAAAAACACCCTCTCCAATCTACAGGCTTTAAGTACAGAGGTAGGGTACAAATTAATCATTGCTTGAAATAAGTTAACATTTACACTTACTTAAAAAAAGCGTTTTTTCAGTTATCTCTGAATTAGCCTCATAAATATTCATTTAATGTTTTGCTTCATTTCTCAGTTGCTTGCCAAGTCCTTGTGTCGGCTGACAATGAAAAGTAAGAAACAGTGCCAATATTTTTTACAGACACCCTTCATACGTAATCAAATAAAACATAAATTAGATTAATTTTCAATATTTTTTATTAAAAGTTAATGGAATACTTGATCCTATTAAATGACCTATTTAATGTTTTCAATCTTTTATGACATTTAGAATTTACTTTGGAATCTTGGCACTATCTGTATTTGTTTGTTTTCTGTCATTCTTTTATATTTGATTTCTTCCAGCTAAACTGGGTTACAAATTAACTCAGTGTGCCTTAATGGATCTACAAGGTCAGCTTATCTTAAAAATGGTGCCAGTGAATGCGTGAGTCTCTCTTATAACTGTTTGTAATGCTAGACCCATATTCACACATAATGTGCATAGTTCAGTACATTAGTGGTCTAGATATACTGATACATAACAGCCAAAAAATTCAATTTAAATTGCTACAGCTGACATTGATATAATTTCATGAAATGTCACCTGCTGCGCCTGACTCTAAATGCACTTAAAAGTCTATTGATAATGGTTTTTTTAATAATATTTTCAGGCATGCTTCTTTTTAGGACTGAAGCATTTATTTAAACTTCATTATGAGGCTAAAGCCTGTTTTACACTCAGCGAATTTATTCGCGCTGATCGAAAGTGTTGGTTATCTTCCTGAGCTCTGATTGGTTGCGCATTTTTTCACTTTGCAAAAAGTAGAAACAGTTTGAACTACTAATTTTGCTGAAAGCGAAGAACTCCTATAGAAATGATTCGTACGAATATGTTTGCCTAGTGGAAAACAGTCTTTAGGGAATGAAGTTAGGTAGCGACTTAACTAAAGGCAGCTAAGCTAGTGGTAGCCACTGTATGTGTACTAAACCATGGAGAACCTATTGTATCTTGTCCATGTTTTGAGACATGAGAAAAAATACTGGATTTATTTATACAGAGTTATGCAGAATTTGAACCCAGGACCTCAGATTGTTAGGCAAGCATCCTAACCGCCAAGCTACAGCTGCATTCCATATATGATGCACCATATATTATCATATTATTTAAAAGGTTCGCTTTCATTGATAGGATCACTCCAGCGGATAAGATCGTATCTGAGAAAATCCGGAAAGGAGAGCTTGTGAAACTTTATGTGATTGCCTTCGTTAATGAAAACGAATTACCATCATTAAGTATTATGGAATGTCAGACTCCATTCAGCAACTTACAGCAAACAGTTATCAAGTGAGTTGTCATTAATTATATATTAATTAATAATTATACTAATTAATTATGTATGTAGATAGCAATGACATACTTGAGAAAAATGTACTTGTGCATATAAGCTTGCAAATATTGATAATTTTTCATTCCTGATGATGACATAATTAATGTTGAAATATTGAATCCCGACACGATGGCGTGCATTTCGATACTTGGAATATGTTTTATACTATCATTCATTCCCTGTTGGAGCTTTTGAATACCTTTAATATTATATATAACCTTTATTTTATATTTTCCAGAATTATGGTTGAGTATTCTAAGAAGAAATCTTTCAATGAACATTTCTTTAAATATTTATGAAGCCAGTACATCATAATTGAAACGTAACAAAACAAATCTAAATTTATTTCAATTTGCCAGAGAGTATTTTTATTTTAACTCAATATGAAAGAGAATTTTATAAGTATGCAATAAATTTTGTTAGAAAGATAATTTAAAGTGTATCAAGTTATTGTGTGATTAATTTTAAGAGTGTTGCCACCAATTATTTTTTAGCTCATTGATTTCATCATAATTATCATTAATATTATTATCATTATCATCATAATTATCATTATTATTATCATTATCATCATAATTATCATTACTTTATTATTATCCTTATCATAATTATCATTATTATCATTATCATCATTATTATCATTATCCTTATCATAATTATCATTATTAGCATTATCATCATTATTATCATTATCATAATTATTATCATTATCATTATCATCATTATTATCATTATCATTATCCTTATCATCAGTATTATTATCATCAAAATTATCATGTGTTCATCATTATAATATTGCAAGTAGATAGGTTGTTAACAATTATATAAATAATACATTATTTATTTCTTTATTTTAAAAAAACACATCCAACAGCAATCACATGCAAATTACACAATGCCTTACATTTTTTAACACACAAATATATAATAAATAGAAAAATGCACAAAAAATAGAAACACAGAATTCATACACTTTAAAAGAAAAACCTTGTCAAAAAATTTTCTCCTTTTACTAAGTGCAGGAAAGAGAGATGGAACCAAAGTAATATAATTTTTTATTTTAAAATAAGTATATGGTAAAATTATTGAACCATTATTCCATAAACAAAATTCCAGAGCCACAAAAACATATTACATAATAACAGTTTATTAAATGATTATAATGATAATCTCCAAAAGCAATTAAAACCTTTCAGGACCTTTTAATAAAAGGTCATTTATATTATATAATATTGTATTATAATTTTGTTTATAACTTTATTGCAGTGGTTTATGGTTATTTGTTTATCAATATAATTGAAATCATGATGTGTCTGCCAGAAAGAAAATCTATTTACAAAAATATATTGTCGCTTGACCTTTCAACTTTCATCTGTTATTGAGGACAATTTTGGATTTCGTGAAGCACCCCAACGCTTACCCAAATAAAAATTGAATAGACCTACTTATTTATTATCTAGTAGGATCATTCTAGTAACTTCAAGAGACAATCCCCTGTACAAAAGAGAGTGGTGAAGGAATTGAACCAAAGACCAGAAATCTAAAGAGTATACGCAGTTCAGCACACAGTGGCTACCTCCTTGTTTTAGCCAACATAGCCAAGTTGAAGATGGACCATCTTATTCACTATTGCAGTGTTACGCAACCCATGGACCACTTTTGCGCCGAACTTATTGGTGGTCTTCAACGCTAAGGGTCCGTGGGTAGTCTGCGAGAAGTGTAAGTGGTCCGCCAAATGTTGAGTGTTCTGCCGTCGTATATGGAGGCCTATAAATACACGAAAACAAACATACAGTATTATTTTAATTTGACATTGCTTTCACACTAATTAGGTTTTAGTTTAACAGCGTTTCTTTTTGTTCCCAACTTGAAATCTTGCTTGGGTCTAGAAGAAATAAGCAGCCTTGGTCGGTCACATGCGCACACTTTGACGTTCTGCCTGGGTGACGCTTACACGCAACAGATGAAAATTAACGAGCGTGAAGCCAAATTTTCAAAAATATTAGTGATATGAGCAGGTTCAAGGTAGAGTTCCCCCCCCCCCCCACACTTTTTGTTGTCATCATTTGAAACTTGCTTTGTGAACTTATTAAGTTAATCAATTTCCCAGTGACACATCATTTAATTTTTGCCTTTAACCTTCAGCGTTAGGCCTACATCAATAGACCTGTCAACTATGCATAGTCGAATACGCTTGCTGCAGACGGTAGCATAACTTGTTTCTCATTATATCTATGTGGCATAACCACTGGCATAATTGATGTTCTCACTAGGTCAAAATCAAAAAAATGATTCGACTATGTCAGTATAGGTCTAATTAATAACTGAATGTTATTAGTACTGTATATGTGAAGTAGTCCGGAAATTTGTTTATGGTGTAAGAAGTGGCCCTCTGGCCCAAGGTTGCGTAGCACTCAACTAAATCCCAGGGGGTACCGAATAAATGCAATAGGGAAAAAATGTTCAGGGCAATTTATTTGATGCTTCTCTGGCATTGATGGACCAAATGCAATTTAGTAACCCGGGTTGTGGCTCTTAGGTTCAATCCTGAAGGAAGCTCGTGTTTGCACGTCACGAACGCCCGACCGAATCCCGAGAGCATCGAGTAAAATACAGTAGGGAAAAATACACAGGGCAATTTATTTGATGCCAAATACAATTTAGTAACCCAGGTTGTGGCCACTTACTCTCTTGTGGGTAAGATTCAATCTTATAGTTAAACATACTGCAGGGCTCATATGTACCGTGCATGAATCTGCCGGGAAAGTCCAAAATAAAAACGAATGAAAACTTAACTTCTAACCTCATATATCTAATCATAATGATTTACTTTGATTGAGACTCCGCAAAGGTCTATTCGTTGATGAGTGATCTAAAAGACTATTTTTCATACTTTATTTGCCTCCTGTAGATTATTTAAACTTATGTCACTCTAATAAAATTAATGTCTAAATGTTATTACGATTATGAACAAATACAATTCAGTATTTAACACCAGGGTATGTCCGATGGTTTCACCTCTAGTTTATTATTAATTTTTGTGTTAACTGCATTTAAAAGTACATGTGCAAAACATTTTTTTTTCAAATCTGTATGTTACCAATGCAGGCTAAAGCCATTGGAAGATCCGCCAATCTAAACATTAACTTTTTCCGAGTATAGACACATGTGTAAAATGATTAGATCAACACTAAAGTGTTGAAGACGGGAATTTATTCTGCCCCTGATTTTTAGCCTTTTTTTGTAATACCTCTGATTTTTGGATAAAGTCGAGGACAACGAATGTTATTTTCATTTTAAGAAATCAACAGGTGCTGCATAAGTAATTAAGCTGAATCCAAAGAATATTACTTGTACATCTTGAACTTGATGTGATATATACAATTTTGAATGATCCCTGCATATTATTACACCAAAATCGGTATAAACTATGTGCAATGATTTAGCTTCCTCATCAGTCTGTTGTGGATTTGGAGAACGTGATGACGGGATATGTTAAAAAGGGTGTGGCCAAGTGGGCGTGTGGCTTGAAGTCATTTCTTTATAGGCATCATATTCGATAACCCTACGAGGCAGTCAACCCTGCCATTAAATATAAAAGCCACGTCATGTGGGGACCATACACCATTCTGGTGCTTGGTAGGTACCGTATTGATTTAACCATCTGAAATTGTTGGTAGCCCCACCCACAACAAAAATCCTGGATCCGCGCAACAACATAGGCTAATTTTAAAATACTGTATCGTCATTCATTAATTTTGGCTATTTTGCCGTTATGAGAATCTGTAAAAATCGCCGAGGTATACCAGTAAATGTCATTAAATATAAATTTATATCGTGATCAGTTTTTGGCGTAATTTAATGACTGCAATTGGTGAGCGGTGCAATTTGGGTTTTTGTAATCTTGTAGTAGACTATCAATTTTATAAAAAAGTAAATTTATTTTATTAAGTGTTATCACTATAATAGTGTTAGGTCTATAACAATGGATTGCTCTAGAGTTTTGCAAGTCACTCTTATTTCAGTTCCACATTTTTATAACATTTATGATTTTAGGTTGTCCAGCATTCTAAATCCTGTCTCTCCTCGTTATCCATTACTTTTATCTTAAATTTCCGATATTTTTGTTAGGGAATATTTATTTTTTATCTAACATATTTTTTATTCTCACAAAATCATTTTTTTTTTGTGCCGTGGATGAGAACACTGCTTTTTTTGCCAGGAAAAAAGGAAAACAATCATAAAGGTTAAATGAAATTAATTAATGGAAACTATACAGAAGTATAAAATTATTTGGAATATCCTATTGGATATAGCATTAATTTTAAGCATTTTTATAAAAGACATTGCTGTTGAACTTTTTTTTTGCTTCCAGAACCATGTGGTGAAGAATTATTATTTTCAATATGCTAACCTCCAAATGACATTTTAAATGTATTTTTCATACTTTGAACTAATGCAACTTAAACTTCAAATCACGTTAACCTGGGCAATGAATTATAAGCAATCTATCAGAGAGTGCAAATGTATTCACTTCGCCCTCCCTCTATCGCTTCTTCCCGCCTTTCCCCTTCCATGGAGCAGTCCACCGGTCGTTCTGTTATACACAAAAAATAATCCACTATATTACTCATTTAAATATTGGTTTAAAAAGAGCAATGCAGGTAAAGTCAACAGTGGCGCAAACGGGGGAGTGCAGCGTGGGCATCCTCCCCACTCCCCGTCGGAGTCGAAAATTTATAAAATATATACATTTCCTATCCAAATAACGTTATTTTTATTGCCAGTCCCTAATATTGTGGTCTAAAAGCATTTGGATCAACTAAGCCATAAAAACTCTCCCCATGAATACTATCAAATGGTTCTTTATTCCATGCGGTCGACCAAGGCTTCGTCGGCAAATTTCTGGCACCACCACTGGATAAAGTGAATTGTCTGAAGTTAGACAATACTAAAGTTAACATCAATCTGGCATTGTCTTCATCACCCACCATGTTATAAAAGTTTTATCAAGATTCATAACATCGTGGGTGATAATCTAAATTTGTTCACTTTATTTTTTAAGGATGAATCACATAACTGCAGTAAACGATATTTTGACAAATTATTTTTTCCCATTAGTTGTTAATAATTTCATTTCATTTATTTCGTCATTAAAAATTCATTTAAATTTAGCTATACACTGGATTTATCCCCTCCCAATGCATGTCAGCGGCGATCGCATTGCAGCAATACACCACTACACCACTTGCGTAATTGTGTTAACTGTGACATCGACACATTACATAACGTGACCAGTTCAACTCCTACTTGGTTGGGTGATTGCACTACGTGATGGTAATAGGCATATAAAGGAAGAGACGGCATCAAATCAATAATCAGAACAGTTTGGAATCTTGCAAAGAAGACGGAGAGAAGCTGAGTAAGTCAACAATTTAAGCCTGTGTCAGTTAAGTCTTCATCGGACGGAGGTAAGTAAGGATGGCATGTCATATTTCATATATATTCTTATCGGAAGAAAGATCAAAACAGACAAAATAGGAAAAATAAAACCAATACAGCTTCCTCAATATTCAATATTTTGCAATCACATGGATTTATCCGGATCTGTCCGCCGGATAAACTGTATTAATAATATTAATTTGAGTTTAGCTCAAAAGCATTGAATTACTTATAGTAGGACTTTTTTTTTTCTCTACGGAGATGGAGGTTCTCCCTACAGATGCTTATCTGATATAAAGTTACAAAAATGCGTCTATTATGCAATAGGTCTACCTTGAGAAAAACGAAAAGTAATAATCAACTTTGCCTCAGAGCTTTGGTAGAGCAACCGATGTACGGTAATTGTTCAAATCTCTTTCACCTCAAAACCAACCGGTATTTATCATCTTTATCGCCGATGGAGGTGATATGGTGTGCATTTTAGGCCGGGTCTATGATTTAAGTACAATTAGGCCTACGTAATTAGATCAAGAAAATATTTTTCTCACCAAATTATGCCATTTCTTAATTAGGCCTGTGCATAAATCTACCAGTTAATTTAAGAATTTTCGTAGTAAGTATTAATCATGTCTCATTGGTGGTTGATAACTTACTTTATAGTATTTTTAATGAGCAATTCAAGGCTTTAATGCATTTTCAGGGCTTTTCCAGATTTTATTACAAAAATACTACTGGTAAAACGATTTAGGCTACTCATACCGGTGTTCTTTCTATACATGCGTCTAAGCCTACGGTACTTAAGGTTGATTCATTTGGCATAAACGAACAACTACCTCGATGCCATGACTTTTCCCAGATCTATATTATCAGCACGTTAATATCCTTTTTAAGCGAATGTTTTCAAAATAGATTAATAAAATATGTGTTAAAATGCTAAGGAAACATTCATTCACTTGGGACTCCGTGTTCACGGGTGACTCAGTTTGTTACGTTTATCTTTTCTCGTCAGTGAGTGGTAACGAGGATTTCCTAATAATTGGCGAGATGTAGGCCTGGGTTAGAAATCTAACGGAAGTTTTTAACATCGAGAATCCCATGCATAGAGAGTGCACGTGGCATTGTACCGGTATATCACGAGTTTACGTCGTAGCTCGTAAGGCACAGGTCAATAGGGCAATATTTAAGGGGGAAGCCGACCCTCCCCTCTCATAGATTTGGGGGAAAATATGAAAAAGGGAAAATTACATTAAAATTTAAGTCTGAGAGTGCCATTTCTGGCAATCAGAGGTGCCATGACCATAACAATTTAATTCCTAAAGTGATCTTTAACCTCTATCTGTAAATCGCTCTGGCCTCCCGCTCTTCCCCCTATTTCGAATTCTTGGATCTGTCACTGGCCATGCGCACCTGTTACGCGCCGCGTCACGCAAGGGTCCCTCGTGTACTAGTTCTTTTAAAATGAAATGTAAAGTTATCATGTTCACTTGTAGAATAAAGATTACATAGTTGATTGATTGATTGATATCAACAGTGTAATAATCATACATCAATTTGAGTAACTTAGGAAGATTGTTACGATTACAGCACAGGCGTCTACACAAATCTGGAAGAAATATTTCCTAGCACCATCCGTTTAGGCTCTTTATAAAGAGTATATTTTAATATATCTTGTTTAAAATATCATAAAATGATAATTTTACACTAACACGATTAATATTTAACGAGGAGTGTTTACCACAAAAGCAACACTTGGCATAATTCATTATGTTAATCGTTAGAACAACAGCGAAAGTTGCTGTGTAATATGCAGTTTGGGTAAGTGGAACGCAACATTTCGTGATAAAGTGACTACCGCAGATACAAAAGGGCCTTCTCTTCACTTAAGGTACCCTCCCACTAGAAGCCCCACCCCTGTCTTTATGTAAACATGTGTTTGTAAACATTATAAACAAAATTGTTCTTTATTTAGAAAAGTGGTTCCCAACCTGGGGTCCGCCAAGTCAAAGGGGTTCGCAGGGGGTCCGCGAAAATGTGGGGGTCCGAACAAATTTTAAGGTCCGCTAGATTATTAGAACAAATGTTTCATGATCCCATAATTTTTCTTGTCCTACAATAGTGTGATCATGCCTTGAAAATAATGAAATACCTTTGACAGGCATGACTTTGTTCACTATAAATTGTTTTAATTGGTATTATATTTTAATTCCAATATTTTATTCGTGATCTGATAGAAGATTTTCTATGTAAAGATGTTTAGTATAAGAGATCAACTTGATAGTGACAATCCTCGGGTAATGTACAAATATTAACTTTAAATTAGGGCTACTAACTTGAACTAGTCATTATCAGTAAGTGGATTACGACTGACGACTAAAGGCCAACTCAGACAGCGTCGGCCGACGCAGCCCGACCCGATTTATCGTCGGGGACAGTCTTAAGCCGTCGTGAGAAATATTAAACATGTTTAATATTCTACGACGCGACTGCCCGCGACGCACACCATCGCGTCTGCGTTTAACTTACACAGACCCGACGCGACAACAAATCGCGTCGGGCTGCGTCGACGACGCTGTCTGAGTTGGCCTTTAGTCTTAACTCATTCAAAGATCCATGACGAATGCTGGACTTAATAATATCCACATTTCAACACTTACTGGTGCAGTTTAACATCCCAAAAGCAAAACATTCGTCTGCTGAAACTCGATAGCAAACGATAGTTATTCGGTTACATCCCGTACCTGATACATTTGTATGATAATTTATAATTTAGCACTAAATTCAAAGAATGCATTAAACTTGCAAGATACCATTTTGTTGTTTCAACCTCGCATGAATCAAGAAGTACAGGACGTCCAAGAAATACGTTATAAATAATGGATTATTGTCTGCATTTCATAAATCTTTTATAAGGAGAAAGTATTTTTAGAATATCGGTTGCAGTATTATAACCAAAGGTCATACCTCTTCATAGAATACGCCGTTGTAGTTAATATTTCGTGACCTTCGATAGTCTGAACTTCGAGAGGCCCTGTTCCAGTAACATTCGACGTTAACAATATTAACTTTAGCATACGTACCTGGTATTGTTCCAAAGTGATGATCCCATTTGTGCGCTTTTAATATAATTCCATCAACCTTTATTGCTCCATGGTACACTATATTATATATTTACTTAACCTTAATTTAAAAAACAATATGTATTTTAAATTTTGCGGTGTTTGAATTATTGAATATGAGGCCTAGTGGGGTGAAACTGGTCCAGATTTAGAATTATTATTTTGAAGAGTTGGCTCAGGCTGAAATATGGGACAAGAGTGGAGGAAATACGTAATAGACCTTTCCGGAGTGTCAATCAAACTTATCAACTGACCAATCAGAACAGCGCTAGGGATACGCGGGCGTCTCACAAACACACGCGTTGTCCCACAAACGCACGTGTTCGCGTATGTTTTAACACTGTCGTCTTGTGGGACCTTAGCAACAATATCCAAGGGGCGGGGCTTAGCGAAAAGGTCCATTGGTTGTGCAAAAGAGTAGGCTTCAAATTGTTACCGTAATTATATTTGAGAGAGGAAATGTGGGGTGAATTACTGTAGTTCTGAGCTTTCGACTTGCATTACAATTATACAATTCGAATAAAGCAGTTGGAAAACGAATCGATAGTTTCATGAGGTGCGCTGGTCTTTTTGAGTATACCAAAGGACACATGATGAAATGGATGTAATTATTCAAACAAAAATATACATCACGGTTGGTGGCTCGAAAGGAAAATTAAAGACGGGGGGATTTTTGTACGCCCGATAAGGGTAAGCGAAGTTTGTCCGAAGGTCAATCTCATCCAGGGTTTAATATTGAGATTGATTGACCCAGAAGCAGAATATTTGAAGAATAGATGAAAGAATATGATACTGAAATAAAAATAAAATGTTTAATACAATCAAGACAAAATATCCTCAAGATAATTACTATACTATATACAAAACACTATGTTGGGTTTAAAAATAGGCACAGATCACTATCAGAGGTTTCAATGTAGTGTGTTAGTGGGACGTGCGTATATTCCCATGGGTGTATGCAAGGGGAGGGTTGGGGATGGTCGTACGGCCCCTCCCCCAAATTTTCAAAGGTCTACATTTTTTCCAAAGACATTTTTTCTCTAGGGCCTTTTCACAATGACATAAATGAAAAAGCACTGATGAGGTAACAGCAGGGAGTTGTACTGGTACCAGCAATGAGTCCAAAGACCTTGCCAATTGCGTGACGTGTAATCTATCTGAATTCCAGCAATTCTGAAACTGAGCCTGCCATCCGCTTCAAGCTGGTGGCGCTGTATTCGATTTTCCTGTCTCCCACTGAAAAGGTCCAAAAAATTATGATCAGGACCCACCCAGAAAAAATCCTGAATACACCCTTGATTCCTGGTCCTGTTCTAAATGGACCTTTCCGCTAAGCCCCGCCCATTGGATATTGTTGCTAAGGTCCCACAAGACGACAATGTTAAAACATACGCAAACACGTGCGTTTGTGGGACAACACGTGTGTTTGTAAGACGCGCGCGTATTCCTAGCGTTGTTCTGATTAGTCAGTTGTTAAGTTTGATTGACACTCCGGAAAGGTCTATTGATCAATTTGATTGACACTCCGGAAAGGTCAATTGTTGACACAGTGTCTGAGGTTAACTCAACCGAATGGGAAATGCATCTTTGGCTTTTCATAGTAACATTCTCGCTCCTGAACTCAAAACTTAAATTGGATTTTTAGAAGTATAGACGTATTTGCAAGGACCTTCCTCTCATGGTCTATCGGAAAAAAGGGTATTTTAAACTTTGAAATGCAGGAATAGGCTTACTATTATTAAATATGTACGACGCCTTAACCAACTGGGTTGAAGAATCGTCACAATCTACATAGCATTACATAACATAACATGAAAATCGGCATTATAGTTCATTTCCTTTAAAATACCTGAAATAGAATAGAAGTGTTATTCGCGGCATTTGATATCATTTAGGCCAGCTATTGCAATTTTAAAATGTTTGATCACGAGCGCTTGAGAACTTAGACGCGTTACCGTATGATACCAAACAAGGAGGTATTAAATAATTATAAAAATAAAATTTAATACCTCGTTGAATAGTGACCAGTGTCACTGAAAAAATATTCAGACAATTTGATTAGGCCTATATGACAAGAAACGTGATTAGGTGTCTTCAGTGGCTGCGATGTGTTAACGCACCTTTTAGGATCCTATGAGGTTAAGATTAATTCTTTTTACTCAATGAAAACGTTTATTTTGGTTTGTTTTTTTGTTTTTTTGTTTTTTTTTTTATAGGTAGTTGCCTGTTACGCGCGACTATGACATCAGCTCCATAAGAGCCACTTTAATAACTATAATGTTGGTCTAAATTAGCCTCCTACATTCTGACTGTAGTGAAGAAATCAGGGATATCCTTATTAATAATAAACAGACTGAACACATGTAATGTTATAATAGGCCTAATAGTAGGTGATTTTAGGATCACTTGGTCCAGAATAAACTTTTTGGCGTCATATTTCAAACAAAAACCTCAATAGAAACAATTCGACCGGATTATTACCATCAAGTTGAAGTCTAAATAGGTTTTTTTTTTTCAAAATACCAGTATATATGTTATCGTCCTTTATCAGAAGAGAATTGCCCTGTTTTTCATTAATTCTTTAATTCATTGCGGATGTTTTTTTCTGACTTTCACATGGGATGGCAGGCCTAACAGCATACCAACATTATGTGTGTTTAATTAAACCTGTTTTTGCCCACTTATTGATAAATTAAATATTAAAAATTGTTCCATGACTACGCCTTTGTTCACGTATATGCCTACTTTTGGAAATCTGGGTCATGTGTTTACCGGCCTCTATAATTGTGATTTTTTAACTACTTAATGAATGAAGAGTCTTGCAACAATAAATGATTGATTGATTGATTGATTGATTGATCGATCGATCGATTAAATGAATGAATGAATGAATGAATAAATCAATGAATGATGGATTGATTGATTGACTGACTGATTGACTGATTGATTGATTGATTAATTGATTGAATGAGTACCATCTTATGTCATTCAGGTCAAAGGTCAGTTGAAGAGACATTCTGTGTCCCAGAAATTGAACGGTACACACACTGAAATAAAATGTGGTTTTCGAGAAGATAACAGGTCCTGTCCGAAAAATCGATGTAAGCGCTATGCATTTTATCAAAAGGCATGGCCTTACACAGAAATCACATACAGGTTTGTAATCACATACAGGTTTGTGTGCACTAGCCCTGTACTCACTAAATTTTATTATACAAAATTATATAGGCCTAATGTTAATTTTACTATAAAGATGTATTTTCTACACAGTTTGACTGGGACAATATTTTTTTAATGAAAAAATATGCCTATGATTTTGTTGCAAGCATGTATATTTTACTATTATTGGATATTAGGGTGCTCTCTATATTATTAAGCCTATGCATTTCAAACAAGAACGGGTGGGGGCGGGGGTGGTGTTAAGCGGGGATTTAAAATACTTCAAAAGTGGAGAATTTGGTCAGTATAAAGTTACTGTGTTCCCATGGATACGGATAGAGTACTGTACACTTTATTCACTAGCTTCGCTGATCGTAACTTTACAATGGGCTACCATTTTTTCAAATAAATATACAGTATATGTTTTTATGTTTACAGAATTGGTAATTGGCCAAGCAATTGTGACATAAAGAGCAAATCAAAAATTCGCCAGTTATTTAAAGAGGCTTTTCAACTCTGGAGTGATGTCTCTCCGCTGATTTTTAGAGAGGTTGGAAAAAATGAAATCGCAAACACAACTATCATGTTTATGAAACTTGAACATGGTGATAACGTGCATTTCGACGGGCCACTTAACACTCTTGCGCATGCGTACCACCTAATGGGTGGGTATGGGGAATTAAATGGAGACATTCATTTCGATGATGACGAAAAGTGGACATGGAAAGCAAAACAAGGTAAATCCTCAAATAATGGTACCGTAGTTTGTATTGCTTCTAACTGAAATATTTTTATAAACTTCAAGTAACTGTAAGTGTAATTGGTCGCAGTATGCCCTTCAGAACTGTAAAGTGATTGTCTCCATATTTACTACCCAAAATCGTACTCCAAGAGGAGCCCACTGGAATTAAGAATTCGTATATATAGGTTTATCGTATATGGTGCTTTATATAAAATACAGTAATATAATCATCATCATTTTTATCAACGATATTCAGTCATTCGTTGCATATCATTAATAAATATAATGATATTATTTATCATTTCATCTGCTAGGTAGAAATCTATTTATTGTAGCGGCGCATGAAATTGGTCACGTAATTGGATTGGCCCATTCGAAGGTTAAGAGCGCCCTAATGTGGGAACATTATCAGCTATTTCAGAATGGATACACGCTTTCGGAAGATGACGTCAAAGGAATACAGCGTATATATGGTGAGTGTTCGCGCGCGCGAAAGTGATACAAATGCATCATGACTGTTACGAAGTGCTTTGTCGTCATTCGTGAACACTAAATTAAATGAACATAACTACCATGACTGGGAGCTCAGGATAATTACATTTTCATCATGCATAAATCGGTACTCAACTATCACGAGAAAACACGAAACTATCACTTTGCTTAGTTTTTAATATTTTTTTTAAAATTTTATATAAACTATTTTTGGTTTCAATTTACTTTTTAGGCAAACCATTACATCCGAGCGGTATAAAAGGATGTAATGGTACTCAATTATCACGAGACATAACTACCATGACTGAGAGCTCAGGATAATTACATTTTCATCATGCATAAATCGGTACTCAATTATCACGAGAAAACACGAAATTATATCACTTTACTTAGTTTTTAATCTTTTTTTTATTTTATATAAATTAATTTCGGTTTCAATTTACTTTTTAGGCAAACCATTACATCCGAGCGGTATAAAAGGAAGAACAGTAGTAAGATCGAAGGTTACAAAGCCGACGGATGAAAACCCGGTTAAGGCTAATAATAATGTAACAGATGCCATCTCTAGAACAGCGGCTGTGAATACACTGGTCAAAAGACAGAATAAGATGAACAATACATGTGATCGGTCTATTGACGGTTTGGCGGTTTACAGACGAGAAATAATGATATTCAAGGTAAGCAGTTTTTCGTATCTGTAATCCCAATTCTCGGCTTGGAGTGGGATATTCCTCAGACAGACACGTAAAACATCACAATCTTCCTTATTGAAAAGAGACTTCAGAAGGGACATAAATAAAATCATCTACATAAAAAAATGGGTACAAAAACAGGCATAATTAATTGTATCCAGTAGACCTACATCATGTAGTAGTTTAGAACTATAACATAACAGATGAGTAAAAGGATGAAAATAACCATGTCGCTTTAGACGGAATAGCATAAAATGAAGAAAAATCAAAACGCAAACAAGTAAGATTTTTGTACACTTTTTGTACTTATAAGAAAAAGTTAACGTGTAAGGTTTATTCTAATTGATTTAAAAGTGATATCGTATGGAGTAATGTTTTTTTTTTTTTTTTTTTTTTTTTTTTTTTTTTTTTTTTTTTGCTTGATTTTATATTTTCTTTTCAATGTTTTGATGGATAGTTAAATCAAATGTTAATCTTGTAAGTAAGTATTAGAGAAATATTCCTGCTTGTCGTTTCAAATAGGCCTACTGAAGATGAGGGCAGTCACACAAGTTAGTGTTCTGCATGTTGTGTGCCAAGAGTGAAAAGAGTTTTATAAACGGGATTTTTTTTTCTATGAAGGGAAATAGAATTTGGCGAATGAAGACTGATGGCACTCTGATTTCAAGAGAAAATGGCGAACTAGCTGCATCTTATTGGTATGGTTTGCCTTCCGATATTGACGCTGTATATCAACGAAACACTGATAACGCCCTCATCTTTGTTAAAGGTATTTTATTCTAACCTGGTTCCCGGTCAATTTTTTTTTAAACTAAGAATATTACGGCACCAGTCGTCTCGAGTCTGCACGGTCATTACACTGTGTTTATGAGTTATTAATTTAGATTTTCTATACAGAGGTGTGATGGGAGGGGGTAACCGGCATTGTGCTATCTTAATTTAGATGTGAACTACTATACTACTACAATACTCTCAAATTACTAATTGGTTACTCAACCAACGGAATGAAAATAAATGTTATGCCCTTATTCCAAGTTTCAACGAACCTTTCTGATAACGTTTTAATATTCATTAAATTTAGATCAATACTCGTATATATACCTAGGACCGCATCAGTTGCCCATCAAGACGATGCACATGCTAAACGAAATGCCAATCGGTGTAGATGCTATCGTTGCTGTGTCCGGCTCTAACAAAATCTACATATTCAAAAATAAATTAGTGTGGAAGGCAGATGTATCAACCAATAAACTTGAAGATAATTATCCAAGAAAAATATCCAAAGAATGGAAGCGACTACCAAGGGGAATTAACGCCGCTTATTACCTGAATGGTAGATATATAGTTTATTATGAAAGCATTATTACTATCGTGATAGTTTATACAGTGTACCGTATGCCAGATACTGGCATACTAAGTATAATTATTTTCAAACCGCTTTTGAATTTTACTTTTCTATGCCTTTTTGTCTGAAACCTTTATTAAATATCAAATATAACTGTTGATTTCGCGCCTGCATTCTTTTTCAGATCACTTCTACTTTTTCAGAAATGGTCAAATCTACAAGTCAAAATCAGGTACAAACTACGTCACGCGGCACAAGCAGCGCTGTTGGCAGACGATCAATCGATTCATCAAGAAATGCTGACATCATTGAGACGAGTGCTTCAGACTTTGAGTGGTGAGCGGCCTGTTTTATTCAGATTGATTCAAAGAGAATGTTGACCACCGAATTTATCATTTAAAAACAATAACGAGGTTAAATGAAGTTACATGCTTACTCGTCTGGACTATTATGATGGGTGCGTTTGTTGAACACATGAAGACATGATGCTACGTGGCTCACATGGATCGGAAGACGATGTTCAGTGACAACTCCGGCATATCCAATTGAAGGAACAATCAAACACGTTCTGATTGGCTATCGATTGATACACCAATTTGCGTTTAGCTCTCGAGAAAATGACTACCGCCCTCTGTGTACATGTAAATTTGGACATCACCAAAGAGTATTAGACATCACACAAAACAAAATCAATGAATATCACCGGTGGTGATATTACAGTGTACAGTACTTGTGATATATGTAAATAGTAGAGCATTTTGATATAATATAGTTTGATTTGATTGAGCATGGTATGACATGACTTGATTTGATTTATGTTATGACATGATAGTATTTGATTCTAAATATCTTAAAAACATACAGTTACTGCAATATTTACACAATAGAGCAATTAAAGCATTCGGGGGTGGGGGGTTTTAAGTTAGCTCTACAACATAAAGGAGAAAGGAGATAGAAACTATTTTGTAGGTCACAGTATTTATAAACCTTTGCTGCTTAGCCGCAAATACAACATACTGTAAAAACTTGTGAATAATAAAAAATTGATATGCATTTGTATTAGGCATTTAAGTTAAAAGTTTTAAGGTTGTCAGAAGCAAGTCCAGTCATTGTTTACTTTTGTTTTAATTCATTGGAACATTTATTTTCTTCCTTTTCAACAGATACAAAAGTAATAAGTTCTTTCTTAAAGCCAGCTCCGGAGGTTGATAGGTTGTAGAACTGACTTTTCGAAGACAAACAATTTTTATTTAAAAACTTGGGGAAAAAGATTGAAAAAGGGTGGTTACGCCCCTTTTCCATCAGTTTTTAAATATTCAAAAATCTGTATCTCATTAACCGTTCCCGAGTTTTTCGTCAAATATGCTTTTCCTGTCTTAGAAATATCAGTGCTACATTTTTTTTTCTTCCGGAGCCTGGCTTTAAATAAATTAAAGAATAAAAAGTAAAGGAAGAAGACAATTGCCCCAGAAGATTTAAAATACAATTTTTTGATGTGCCAGTCGACAAGTGCAAATATGTTATGTGTACGTTATTGTGTGGTTGAGTTATGGAATGGAGGATGGGGGAGGGGAGTGGAAAGGGTTTGAGTTAAAGGGATGTCTGGTAATTGATACTTGTATTAAAACAATTGTGAGTAATAAACAAGATTTTCGTAAACGATCCCAATTTATTAGGATAGGGTTAAGATATCATCATTATATTTTCTTCTAATTTTTTTTTATCCAGATAAATGAAGAATGGGATATTCAGGGCTTGGAATATAAATAAACGCGATTGAATGTTTGAAATAATATTGTTATATGTATTGTTTTTTTTTAAATCTTGATTGTGTTGTAACATATTATTATTATTATTAGTAGTAGTAGTAGTAGTAGTAGTAGTAGTAGTAGTAGTAGTAGTAGTAGTAGTAGTAGTAGTAGTAGTAGTAACAGTAGTAACAGCAGCAGTAGTGGTAGTGGTAGTAGTAGTGGTAGTGGTAGTGGTAGTGGTAGTAGTAGTAGTAGTAGTAGTAGTAGTAATAGCAGTAGTAGTATTAGTGGTAGTGGTGGGGGTTGTGGTAGTGGTGGTGGTGGTGGTAGTAGCAGTAGTAGCAGTAGTAGGCCTAGTAGTAGTAGTAGTAGTAGCAGCAGCAGCAGCAGCAGTAGTAGTGGAGGTGTAATTAGTAATAGCAACAGCAACAACCGTGGTGGTGGTGGTAGTAATAGCAACATCAGCAACCGCAAAAACAGAAACAGCAATAGCAGCAGTAGCAGCAGTACCAGTAAGCAGTATGTAGTAGTAGTATAGTAGTAGTAGGCAGGTGGTGGTGGTGGTGGTGGTGATGGTGATGGTATAGTGGTAGAAGGTAGTGGTAGTAATGGTAGAATTTAGTACAAAATATACTACAAAGAGCAATGGAGATACGCATGCTAAACATATCAGAGATATAGGCCTAACCAGATGCAGCTTCATAGACAGGAAAACATAATTCTAAGGATATAAAAAACACAACAAATGAGGATGGAATGGACGATATATAGCACGAATGAACGACTGAGGTGGACCATGAGAATGGGCGTATTCGACTGGCTCATTTCGTTGGCTACAATTTTTCGTTGAATTTTATTTTCATTCGACTGGTTCGTAAAATCGACTTCGTTGACAACGAAAATTAACGTAAACCAAAGTGCGTTAATCAGTGTTAAGTTATCCACGTGACCAAAACAAACATGGCCGATTGGTGAGTTTAGAACATAGAGCTACTAAACAACTTATTCTTATTATATCTCTATGGTTTAGAAACAACATTTGCGTTAATATAACTTAGATTAAATTTCAGAAAATAAAAATTATAATATTTACCCACATGAAATCAAAAAATAATTGTAGGCTAACAATTCAAAAACTAGATGAAAATATTTTTTTTAACGAAAAACCCATACTGCCACAAGCTGAAGCAATCTTGACTATGTAGCGTGTATTGCGGTAACTATGCAGCCATTTTGATTTGTCGAGTGTTACAAGTTTAACATTCGACTGGTTGTTTTCGTTAAGTGGGATTTTACCACTGGCGGCGCAGGTGGGCGTGGTTTAACGAAGAACAACCAGTCGAATACGGCCAATGATGGAAAGGAATTCAAGAACTGAAAAAGATGAAGATACAAAAAAATAATCTGGAGAGATGAAAGGAGGAAGAGTACATCTGTAGGCAGACAAAGCCTAAAGTAAGTAAACGACAGACTACAATAATTTCATTTTTGTCACTCGATGAAGGCTCACGAGAATCGTTCAATAATACATCTTTTAAAAGGGAAATCAGATATATGTATAATTTCTTTGCCTATTATACAACCAAACTATAAATTAGATTACAACTAATGTTGTTATGAAAATTATATGCTCCCATATAAACTAATTGAACACTCTATCAGCCTATTAACTAATATTGACGTTGAATAGACATGAATGCGATTGGTGATGAAGTCATAATATGATAATTAAAGAACTTTTATATTTCAGTGGTTGTATTTTTTTTTCTCTCTGAAGGTTTCTACACTTCTGAATTCACTGGAAGGGCCCCGGCGGAGGGGTGGGTTCATCATTGTGATGTGAAACCGGCGCAAACTCCACGATACCAAAGTGTGTGGTGCAGATAGTAAGGAATCAGGTCTTTAGAGCTTTGGTTCGAAGCTTGTCAATACCGATCAGCATTCGTGTCCATCGGGTAAGAATCTTCAGATTTGATGTTACGCTGTTGATCCAGTGTATAAAAATGGTCCTGTACACAAACGAGAATATGCACTTTACTGTATAGGCGTAATAGGTTGGCTACTGCACCGATGTTACCATGTCCTTTATGTAGGCAAGCTACGGTATATGAGCTATAATAATTAATATGTAAATCAAATTATATTATTTTGCTGTATGATTTTTTTTTCTGGTTTTATGGTAATGTTGTCTCCGTTCCTCTAACATTTTTTTAAAAAATAAATATCAACTTCGATATTTAATTGCTTACCGACACTTTATATATTCTATGGTAATTATTTTAAATTCGAAAAGAACAATGAAATATTTTCATCGCCAATTAATGTTGCAAATCGGTTAATAATACATAGATACTTAAATTGGTTGTTGATTGTCAAGGATTTTCGTAGGACTTTAAATCAGCAAATACCTAATTGTTCCGATCCTTATATCTCATTAGCAGTGATAACTTTTTTGTTCATTTTATTTCAGCAAATTTACTAATGGTTTTGGTTAGCAGATTTTACAACAATATTATATTTTAAGGTCACTTTTGTTTGATATAGATTTTATTAGAGTTATGAATGCATAATCAAATTGTGTTCGATTCTCGACATCTAAATCATTTGATTATTAGTTTTAATCACGGAAATTTGTCTTTAATTTTCAGGGAAAAAAAACTTCCCAATGGAATTGTTGAGAACACCACAGCATTGAATTATCTAATTCTGCACTCGACTGTAATACTCAATCATTTTAATCAGAATGAAAATATACAGAATTTTGTGAAACGTCAAAATAACATTGTTAAGAAACGATGATTATTATATATGAATTATTTATGACTTGTCATAAATTATTCATGAGCAAAATATGAACGACTGCAACAACCTGTAATACACCGTGTGCGTTTTGATTTCCTTAATGTAGACCTAATTCATAATCCCTAATCACTTCGCAAATGCAATTAGAATAGTAACCAAGAATTTACTTCTAACAATCAACTTATTGCTTGTTTGTGGAAACATTATTATCTAACATAATAACACGTGTTATTCTTTCTTTTGTAATAGTCGACCAATAATACTCGTGATGTGTTCGAGCACTTCTCAAATAGTTACAAATATCTTATTGTAATCAACCAATCAGAACCGACCTCCCACGAGCATGCGCCTGAGGCAGTCCCAGGTACTGAGCCCACTTGCAGGCTAATGTTGGTGCTAGTCGACTACTTAGTAAACGGTGGTTGTGATTGACGTTTTTAAGCATTGATATGTCAATTAGTGGGCGGTCCAATTTGATTAGACAATGGCTAATTAGTCACTACTTGCGAGTAATTCACTCATTGGTGTTTAGTTTTTTCTTGGTTCATTAACTTGCATGGTTACAAATTCGTTCATCTTGTCAGTTTTTCAGGCACAAACGCACAATTAAATGTGATAACTTGGAACTCCTCACATATTCCGTTACCTGAATCGAAACACTAAAAAACGACTGTAGATGGCTTTCTTCGAAAATTACCTGAGCTTATGAAAATATTTGTCGATACTTCTAAGTTAAAGTTTAAAAAAAAAACACATTTGGAAATTAATTGTGAATTAATATAAACAATTTTGCGGATGTGTGGACAATAATTTTATATAATATGACCAGAGAGATTTATACCCAGTTTCAAGATAAAATGCACTCGCGGTCACCTTCAACGAATAGTTCACTTTCTTCACCGAGTTCACGAAGCTCCGGCCCGTCAACACCTCAGCGATGTCCGTTCGCAATTCACGAACTCCTGGGCCTGGGCGATCCCGAGAAGCAAGGCCCACGCCCTGCACCGATCCTAAGATCACCGTCTTTTCTCGGTTTTCCTCATGATTTTCGTCTGCCTATGTACATCGGCAAACCAGCATATGTTCCCTCTCTTGCTCTCGGGTTTCAAAGTGCTTTATTGCAAGGAAGAAGACAAGCTCATGAACACCTCAGTACAAGAAACTCAGGTAAGAGTTAGGCCTAGAATTATTGACATTTGTTACTATTTATTTATTGGTGTATATATTTATTTTTGTTATATATTTATTTTTTGTTATATATATATATATATATAATATAATACAATAAGTGGTCGTTTCCTTATTAAATGATCTAATTAGGTGATTTCTGTGGATTTGCGAATGTAACGTAGATTAAGATCATCTGATGTTATGGTTAATAACAATTATAATATTTAAAAAAAACAGAAGATAAAAAATATTATATAATCGTTACAAACATACTTTGCAGATAATTTAGATTTGGCAAATATTTCTGTTTCATTCGGGTTTGTGCGAAAAACAACTCAGTAATGCCAACGTGTTTGTCAATTCCTAATCAAGTATTTCTAGGCCTAAATATTTTGAGGTTCGCGTTGTATGCTTGCGCTAAGTCATTGCTTTACCCGTTGTAGTTTCACGTGCAAAATAACATATGTCTAATGTAATTAGCCTATGATTGAATTTAGTGTTGGACTGGAATCAAGTTAATTCACTTATTCCCTGTAATTTACTCTCAGAAATGCTAATTCGCCTACTAATGCTACTAACACACAGTTGACAAACTTTGCAACCGATCGTGTGGAAAAATAAGTAGCTGTACAAGTGATAATAATGTTTACGTTATATTTGCGTTATTTATGCGTTATGTATTCCTGTAAGTTTGCGTTATAAAAGTGGGTACCTGGTAGGTTCAAACACAGCTTGCGCTGAATACAGCTGCAACATTATGGAATTCCCCTATGGGGCCTGAGTGTGTGTTCCATATGTGCTTGATCCAGTGATCCGGGGTAATAATGTTCAGCGCATAGAGAAGTTTGATATGCGCTATATAAGTATACAATAATAATAATAATATTAATACGGCGTAACGGTATAATGAAAACTGAGATACGTAAAATGTTGATATCGTATTAGAAACACGAAAATTCATTGCAACGAATATTTCGACTACGCCTGTAGTCTTTGTCAACTCTTGACTATATATATATATATATTTCACACACACACACACATATATATATATATAATATATGAAGAAGGCGTGTCCACGTGTTTCGAAACATATGTAGAATATAATATATTGTAACAATAATAAAACTCAAATACGTAAGATGTCGACTTTAAAAACACTAAAATTTATTTTGCGAATATTCCGGCTACTTCTGTAGTCTTTGTCAACGCTTGACATATTCGCCAAATAAATTTTAGTGTTTCTAAAGTCAACATCTTACGTGTTTGAGTTTCATTACGTTATATATATTTATTGCACATACAGTGTATGTATATATAATTTATTACTGTTCAAACATTGATATGCTTATCTATTGGGTATCTAAGTTAAACATGCATTATATAATTTTCAAATTCGCTAAGTGGAAAATTACATATTTTTCTTATAAAATCACAACAGGAACGAAGACAATAGTAAAACCTTAGAAGAGTCTTTGAAAGTACTAGATATCTTGTATGAATTGATGTATGAAGATTGCAGTCCATTGAATCTACCTCAATTCTACTTATTCAAGCTCTAATACCCGGCCTTCTTAAAATCTTTGTACTTATCAAGTCGTCATCTCTCCATCTCAGTTCATCCGTACATCAACGACAAGTATCGCTCCGTCATGATTTATCTTCAAATGTACACATATATGAGCATAAAGTTCGTTTATTTTGATTAACAACGCCGCTAATGTTCGCTGCAAACACCACTCATACGGGGTGAAATTCACTTTTGTTAGGCTGCGGTTCGGTGACTTGCTGGTCGAAAACCTTAAACAATCAAGCCTAGTGGATTTATACAAATATTATTAATATATGATATACGGTAGTAATGTTAGATACAACAAAGACAGGCTTAAGGTACTTATTTATTGTATTTAATTTCACAAAGAGGACCACCATATATTACATAAAAACATTAAGGAACACTTAATTTGATCTACCGGTATGTTAGAAATTGATGTAGACAGAATGGTCACAAATGAACAACATTAATGATTATGATGATGATATTGATGATGATGATGATGATGATGGTGATGACGATGATGATTATGATGATGATGAATGAATTTCATTTCATTAGATTTGATTTATTCGCATCTCAATGAAGATAATAAGATGTATCCTTAAGTATCTTGTTTACAATAAATAATGAATTAAATAATTTTATCATTATTACTAATAATATTTTCATATTATTATTATGTATTATTACAATTATCATTATTATTATTATTATTATTACTTTTAACTGAGGTAGCTAACTAGATTTCATTTTATAATATTAGTGCTATAATGTCCTTGTTATTATTTGAAAGTAACGATATTTTAATTTTAAAATGAAACATATTAGAGTAGTATCCATAAATTTATGAATTCACAATAATAATTTTTTAATAATATAATAATTGAGTTCCGTGACAACAGTGAGTTTACAGGCAAGCTACTCCCTGTCACATAATTAAGCCGCCAAGAACGCTATTTAGAGAGAGTAGGCCTAACTAGCTTGAAGATAACATTTTGATACGAAAGAAGACAGGAGTGGCTGTTAAGTGACTCAATTTATGGCGTTAATACGATTTAGAAATCCGCGGAGGACGTGCAATTGAATCAGAAATCAACCGGGGGAACGTTCTGGTAGTTTTTCATTATCCTTGAATTGTTGATCTGCTGCCCAATAGATTAGAAAATACATTAGAAAGGAGTGTATAATGAAGTACGGTACAGACCTTAACAACAATTGAAACAAATTCATAACCAAAAAATTGATATGTATCAACCGGAATTTGAGCGTCGAGTTTATGCTCAGGCCTACCTTTGAATAGGTCTATGGTTATCTTTCGATACTGGCTTTTTATCAAAAAATGTTCGGTCTACACATTTTGGAAAATGACGGATTTTTTTTCGATTTTAGGCCTGTGTAAATATTTCCTATTTAGATTTTAATTATTGTTTCCTATATACTTGATATTAACAATTAACTTTCATCACAAATGCACAGTTGGGTTTCACTTTAATTTAATATCTTATTATACAGTATTCGATGCATGTATATTATTATTATTATTATTAATATTATTATGGTTTATTAATTTGTTTATTCATTACCTTGTAACATATTCTCATATTTAAGGCGTCTGTGTTGACAGCTAGTCTATATCAACGAATAAACAAAGCGAAAAAATAATGTTTAGAAGTTTAGAGCGAGACAGGGATCATTCGTCAAGGGCCTGTTAGTATATGCGTGAAACTTGAACAAAAGCCACGGTCTCGCCAAATATCCTAGTAGCGTTCGGCAAACGAATCGAAATCAATTCAATTAATAACTATCTACAACGATTTTGAAAATCTGCCGTGTTTCTGGACGACCATGTTGTCATTTTCTAATGATCAGATTACCTAAGCTAGGAGACGGCGTTCCTTATCACCCGTGCGTGTCGGGCGTGCGTCGTACTTCTCCAGCCGGATCATACATGAGACGTAAGACTATTCTTTGCCATACATCACTTTCAAATCAAAACTCATTATACTTAAATTTAAAAAAAAACTCTAGTCGTTTGATCACCGTTATAAAGTAATTACAGATTACCGTTCAACAGTAAATACTTTCCGGTTTCTGGTAAATTGAGCGGTGGTTGATTAGTTAGTTACGTTATAAGTTCTTTTAAAAGTAATTAGTAGCGTTGGGCGACACGCGCGTGAATTAATTTTAGCAGAAACATGAATAAAACAACCAATATATATATATATATCTTTTTAATATAGTATGATTGTGAATCATTTATAAATGCGTGGCCTAAGTAATTGAATGTGAGATTATAATAGACGGGTGACTAATATACGCTGCAACACGTGCCGGCCATACACAGCGAATATGTGATTATACATAGAAAATGTATATCATAAATTTAAGACCGAAATTTATATCGTCTTCTTTAATTTGTAGAGCACTGTCCATTGACGTCATCTTGATTAAGCCTAATCGAATTATATTTGTGTCATTTGGCGTAGGCATAGGTGAACAAAAAGCATACAAAATTTAATTAATAATAAAAAATATGATGTAATATATATATATTATATTTCGTTAGACATGATGATTTGATATGATATATGATATGGTCTATGATATGATATGATAATATATATATGATATGATATGATATACCGGTAATTGATATGATAGATATGATATATGAAATATGATATGATATTGATATGATACATATGATATATAAAATATGATATGATAAAATAATAAATGTGTTAACTAATTTCATTCAGAAATATTGTGCACAAACAAGTTGGTAGTTAGAATCCAGAACAGAATAATTGCGGAATGCATCGAATAAGCAACTGAAATATATACCATGATATAAATCCTACATATGGCTTATATACTGTCTCTTATACACATCTAGATGTGTATAAGAGACAGATTATAGAGAGCGGTTGTCTTAAGTAATTCATCGATAACATGATAACCATGTTGTTCTAAAATAATTTAAGTGGCATTGTGTTCAATAAAGTGTCCTCTTTACTGTCTTTTATCGTAGCACTAAGTACATGAGATTAGAATTTGATTCGCCGTGTAGGCATTCTCGCCTCCTTTCACTGTGTGATAAACATTCGATGCCTACTATGGCACGGCTGGCATGAGACCACTGTGTCGATCAAATACAGTTAGTTGGTGGCGGAGGAATTTTCAAGGTACCTGGTATGACGGGGAGAATCCTGACTGGCGGCTATGTAGCCCAAACAATAACTGTCTCCAGTTAGCTACAGAGCATCGACGGGATATAGAAGACGAAAGCCCGTGAGACACTTGTTGTCGAACAGAAAGGTGAAAATCAGATCCACGGATTGTGTCAATCAAAGTTTGACAAAATGATGATGTTCAAATTAAATGTGAGAGTTTTTAAGTTACAGATTTATTGTTCATTTACTGAACGTATCCAGTAGAGTACACTGTGTAAGTACTGAGGCGTTCCGTTACATGTCTGTAATGCAACAAGGCCTGGGATAATGTAAGAATGGCTCATCAAAAAAAATTTACAAGTACAATTAGCACTTTCAAACTCTGCAAACAACAACAAAACTTATACTTGAGCGTTTTTCGTTATGAGTTAAGTTTATATACAAGTATCACTGGCAGATAGATTGGTGAGAGGTGTACAGTATACTTATGAAGCTCTAATAGAAATTAATAATAATAATGTTAATAATAAAAATAATATTAATTTTGTTATATTATTATTATTATTATTATTATTATTATTATTATTATTATTCTAATTATCATTACTCTATTATTAATTGATAATATAAAATACTAATATTAAATACTAATATTATAATTATTATGACCATTGCATTGGTATAATTTATTATTTTCCTCAGTTTCAGATACTGATGAAGATCACGTGACCGATAATACAAGGGTTATGAGCCCGACGTCGACAATGAATGCAACAAACAAAAAGAAGAGGAAGAAGAGACGACACAGGTAGGACTAAGCAACAGTCAGGCAACATTCTAACCACAGACTGCGTATAATTTGTGCCATAGAACGTATAATATATAAGTTGACGACTGCATCTCATCTGCGTCGACATATGCGTTACCACTGTACTGTACTGTACGCGCATAATTGTGGGATTTTCTATTGTAATAAGGCGGATATTCTCTACTTTCTATTAGAATTGATCTTTATTGATTTTTCTGCTTTTAGCTTTTAAATTAATTACCGGATTTTTTTTTCTTTAGATAAAAAGTGTGTACCATTTAATACTCTGTAAATAGGCTTGAGTAATTTCGTTTTGAACAATTTATGAATGAGACTGTACGTCAGACTTTTTCATTTGAATGTGTAATTAAGTAAAAGTGATTTCTTTACCTGCGTGATAAATACAGAGCCCCGTTATAATCGACATTTGCAAATATACGATACATACATATATACACTTTGGTACAAAGAAAGGGTCCCGGGCTGGTGGAATTTTGGTTTGTTTTCTATTTGTCCTACCCAACAGAGGTATTGACCAAGGCCCCGAGCTTGTTGAGGCCTATATTCTTATTTTCAATTATAATAAATATTTCTTTATACATAAATATTATCACAAAATCAAATATTATACCAATTCTGCACACTGCGCTGAAGCAGTCTATAGCTAAATAGGGTAATTCTTCAAATTTAGCCGTTAGCGCAAAAGTAATTTGTTGCACTCTGATTCGATGAGGATGATCACATTATCTTCAGCATGCACGTCAGTCACTATATAATACCAGAAAAAAAACTCTTTCAATTGGTGTTATTATTAGATGTCTCATTAATTCATTAGTGCATATTCGAATGTATAAACATAAAAATTCACCCTTATGAAAATGCAATTAGACAGATTAAGATAAACTTGAGGTTACCAAGTAGTCAATGGAAAGATGCACATTCTGCAATCTATTTGGGTTACGCCGGAGTTCTGGAGGTCTATATAATCATGGCGGTATAAAATATGTTTATACCAAGGTCTAATTGACAGTCAATTAGTTTGTTTCTACTGTGGTCCTACCATGACTCTACCTACCATGGTTATACCGAATGGTCCGAAAGCCCACTAACTTCTTTCAAGATATTTTTTAACATGATACATATTCCATTGGGCCTATGACTTATACAGAATAGGCGTAAATAATACGGCGTACGTAGGAAATTAGAAGAATAGTGATGTTTATTGTAAGTGATTTTTATCACAGCCAACAAAACTATTTTTCGAGAGGTGTCTAGTTTTGGACAGATCCCTACTTTTTGTTATGACCCACAAAACTTTCGGAAAGTCATTCAAGGGAACATTCGGCAAAGCTTAGTAACTATAGTAACTATATTTTGTTCAAATCATATCTTTACTCCTGTGTGTGAGTTTCATTCAAGTGAGAGTGATGGGACACTTCCGGTCTGGTCTTCAACATTCAATGAAAATGTGTGTTTGTATTCATAAGACGCGTTTACATGAAAACTGACACGTAAACTGTCCCCTGTAGCGAAGTCCCGACAGTCCTGCCATGTCCTTTACTTGAAGTGGATAGCCCTTTTCAGCCTGTCGACTGACGTTTCGTTTGATTGACGGTATGTCATCTCTAGCGATGCTCTTTATCTTGTCCAAGGCGAAGAAGAATGAATAGCCGGCAATTTTGATAAATATTTTGCTTTTCTTGTATAAAGTGGTGCAACGTTTGTTGAAATAATTACTTTAGAAAGTGTCCGGTTTCTCAGAGGTTGTAGCTGCGTACCCCAGCTAATTGTCCTGTTTTGTTTGACATGGTCTCCTTTAAACTGTCGTCACCAAGGAATAATAATCAACTGTTAAAATAAGGAAAACTCACTGAAACACTTTTAACCCTTAATTACTTTATCAAAGTTTACATCATTAAATAATTGGCCCAAGTATCGTACATGCCACTCAACTTGAATTGGCTTAGCGTGTACAGTATTAGTTTATACCTCCATAGACCTATTATGCTCATCAACATAGGCCTACGTCGTGTTTGTCTTGCAGTGTAAATGTATAATATTCAGTGTACGTTTCAAGTCTGATTTCAATAAAATAGCTACACAGCTTAAGCAGCACCATATAGGATTGAAGTGAAAATACCGTAGTGACATTGTAGCAATTTTATGGAAACCAGGCTTCCTAAAAAAACAATTCAACTCTCTCTGCCGACAGCACATACCGAATATTATGTGACAATTTATGTGATTTTACCATAAATGGGCATGATGATTGTTTGGCACACAACAGTTGATCATTTGGACAGAGATTTAAAGGCTTAGGCCTATTAAGTTGATCATGTGGCGAGTCATGGCTATTACAGAATGTGAATTTAATAAAAATAGAGTTATGTTTACCATTAATAATTACTAATTTTTTTATTTACGTTTTTTTTTTTTTTTTTATTAAAGAACGATCTTCACGAGCTACCAATTGGATGAACTAGAGAAAGCTTTTGGCGACGCACATTACCCGGACATCTATGCTCGCGAGGTACTGTCTCTTAAAACGGATCTACCAGAAGATCGAATTCAGGTAATTAACGAATAAATAGCAATTATAATAAATAGTATTAAGAATAAATAATTATTAATAATGGTTACAGTGAAAAGTAGTATTTCATAATATAAATAATACTGATTATAAAATAATGATAGGCTTTAAATGATAACAATAATATGCCTAAAACTATAGAAGATAAATAAGGTTTAATAAGCCTAATGTAATAATATATCTAAATACATATATGTAAACAAATATTATCAATAATAATGATACAAACAGACCTAATGATAATTATTAAAACTATAACATTAATAGTAGCTATTAAATTTCTTAATGATAATAATGAATAGGCCTACAATGAAATAAGATAGTGATTATTAGGCCTATCATAAGTAATAATGAGCAAACAATAATAATAATAATAATAATAATAATAATAATAATAATAATATTAATAATAATAATAATAAGAACAACAATAATAATTGGAATGCGTATGACTATGACTGTTCATATCAGAAGACGAATACATTTACATTTCTTCCGTTCCATTATTCAGCCTGATTTAAGTAATTAAATCGACAAATGTTTTATATGTATTACACGAAACTTTAATAGCATCGTGTTTTATTCCTATGGAATTGTTACTAATCCGCTTAGTTCGCCTTATTCCACGATTGAAGCTACTTCAGGCAAAGCTTTACGCCACATTGATGAGAAATTAGAAAATTAACAATTACCAGAATGGAAAGGGTACTGTTGTCTCTGTAATATTACTTCTATACATCAGAATAGTACAAGACATGCAAGCAAATAAACTTTAATCGGCTTATCATAATCTTCTTCGTGCTTATTAAGTAACATCATATGTAAAATTAACACTTATATTCCATTCGTCTTTTCGGTGTATTCTTGCTGAGTTCTTATTGGTCAATCTTAAGTTGTCTGTAACATAAAGTAAAAAGAAGAAGGGGTAAACATTCTCCGCGGCGGCATTTACTCTCGTTGAAACGGTTAAACGATCGAATTAAATTGGTTTGCTATCTTATCTAACTTAAGTATATATAATTACCATACAATACACATCAGTTTTCAAAATGTTTATAGTATAGTGTTAGGTCTATACTCCGTTGTGCCTCGCGGGCACATCCAATTTTCTTAAATTGACTCGAAATCGGGCCACTAGGTGGCCTGCCCCATATTTATCGATCATAAACCAGAGCGAATTGATCTTGCTAACGTGATCCATTATGATGAGTGTTAATCAGTGCTGATGAATAGCGTGAAATTATTGTTATTAAGAACATGGACAGATTTTTAACTGCAATCGTCGAAGATAAATCAAAATTCGAAACTGGTTGTAAGTATGATGGTGGCGATGATGATGATCATACTTCGAATGTTAATCAGATTTGCAATGCTGCTGCCTTCGGGTGCTTGCTTTGGCCGTGTTCTGAAATTCTCTGTAAAGCTTTGATCAACGATGATAGAATAATTAATCATTATAATTTCGTCGTAATTATAGTTGATATTGTTATTTATTCTTCATCTTTTCTTTCTTCTTAATTTTTTACTTTTCCTCTTCTTATCTTATTGTTATCTTTCCCTTTTTCTACTTTTTATTTTTTTCTTAATTTTCTTCGTCTTTTCATTTTTTTCTTCATCATTTTTTTTTCACTTCAAAATTCTCTTTTGCTTCTCTTTTTTACCGTTACTTACACGTTCCTTTGACTTTTCTGTCCTTTTTTTCCTTCATCCTTCATTTCTGTTTTCTTCTTTTTTAACCTTTCATTATCTTCTTTTTCCTTCTATTATTCTTCTACTCTTTCCTCTTAATTTCGTCTAATAGTCTTCTTCCTTAACTTATTTTATTATTCTTCATTGTCTTTTTCTTTACTTTTTAATCTTCGTTTTTTCCCTCTCATCCTGTTTACTTTCTACTATTTTTTTCTTTCTTCTGTTTCTAAATTTTCTGTGCCTTTTTCCTCTTGTTCACCTTTTTTGTTTCCTTCTATTTCTTGCTCTCCTTATTCTCTTTTTTTACCTTTGTTTTTAATTCCTCCTTCTCTCTACTAAGCTGTATCCGTTAGGCCTACTACAAATTTAATGCATTATGTTTAGTGACAAATATATGTTCCCTTTTTCTAAGATATATTATAAACTTACTTCAAATTGCTACATGAATCGTTACCTTTCGTCCACTTTGGTAGACTATGCTACTTAAGACACTCTCTAGCCTATTGTAATTGATGAAATCACTGATTGGCTAGACTTTTGTGTTCGTTTAATGTTGATCAAACATAGCTTTGTTACCTGAACTTTTAATTTACACTCGACAACATTTCCAAGAATAGAAACCTTTCCAATGAAGAACTTATTAATTACTGGTTTCATCGCCTACAGGTATGAATAGAAAAAGCGAAGGGCGTCTGAGATGTTTATTGCTCTCACAACGACACAATTGAATCTTAATTAATATTAATAATAACTAATTTTGTAATAACGCATTTCGTCAAAGAATGAATCTCGCGAAGGTTATGGGTTCGTGTATAGCGGTGTTACCGAACGAGGCCGTACGAGTATTATGGAAATTAACACTTAGTTTACGATATTTTGAAAGCATTGTTTGAGAAGAGCATTTAAAACGAACTGAACTCTTTCACAATCTAATGAGTAATTATATCATATTGTCCCTATCATTGGAGTTGTTTATTGAATGATTAACGATTGTCATGCGATTATAATTTATCATAATCTTGCTGGCTAAATCCCAGTGGGAAAATGGTAATTATGATATTATGGACGTTACAGGAGCCTAGAGGGTGTTATAATATGTATCTAATCACGGCGAGGTACCTTCATTAGGTAAATGTTAGATCCAACAGGCCCACAATCATTATCCAAAGCTATGAATTTTAAAACTCTTGAGGGGAAAGAAGTAAGAATGAGGGGGTAAGACGTATTGCTTCATGGAGGAATACAGATTTGATCATCATTGTTGTATCATATGGAATGTGGCCCCATATCATTGCATAGGAACCGTGAAAAATAATGATTTGGCATTACTTTAAGTTAAGCTCTAATGAGGGGAAAGAAGTAAGAATGAGGGGGTAAGACGTATTGCTTCATGGAGTAGTACGGATCAGTTGATCATCAGTGTTGTTTCTAATGGAATGTGGCCCCCATCTCAAGTCTGATTAAAGTTTCAAGATAATTGATTAATATCTTTAGTCTCCAATTATGTAAGACTGTATAAACCTAATGACAACATGTTATAAATATTAGTAGGCCTACTGTTTCATATTCGAATAAACATTTTGGAACCAATGTTTACTGATTTGAAAATGTAAATATTGTGTTGATTACAGAGAAGGTATACAGATGATTTATATGCCTATATACATCTTTTATATGTATACGGTATATATTGTACATATATAAATATATATGTATATAATGTATGTAATATATATGTATATGTATATATATATTGTATATATATATATATATATATTGTACATATATAAATATATATGTATATAATGTATGTAATATATATGTAGGCCTATCTATATATATATATGTCCCATATTTCTAATAAATATTTTGGAACCATTGTTTACTGATCTGAAAATAGAAATAGTATGTTGATTACAGAGAACGTCACACAGATGATTTATAGACCTATATATACATCTTTATATATATATATATATCCATCTTTAATACAATTTTTTTCATCAAATTTTGATCTTTCGATCTTCTTTTTAGACTTACTTATGGAAGTTTCTGTGCGTTGAATTTAGTTTTAAACGTGTAACAGGCCTAAACCAGTTCAACGACACCTTTTCAACTATAGAGTAATCAGTTTTATTAAACATTCTTAACAAAATCCTTCTAATTCTCGACGATGAGGAGACATCTTGTTATACCTATCAATTAATAATAAATTGCAGTTTTATTCAGTCGACGTCCCTGTCATGTCTCCGATGAACAAGATCGAGAGAAATCTGATTTTCTCCACTATTTGCAGAGATTTGCATTTATTATGACCTAATCTTTAATCGCAACGCTATTTGAATAATTTCAAGACTATTAATATAACTAAAAGGATAGGTAATTTCATTTCATATGCGTCTTTAATGCGGCAGAATCGAGACGGAAAAAAAGATCATTTTTACCTTGTTTAATCCGGGCGAAGAGTTTGGAATTGTTGGAGCCCCAGGCAGTTTTGGTAGGACAAACATGCACTCCAGTTAATATGAAATGTAATTAAGAAGTTCGAATTCATAAATAAGAGTGAAGGCCTAATGAAAATGTTACTATCTTAAACTAGTAGCTCATCACTACCGCCATCCAATTAATTCGAGTTTTATTAGATACGAAGGACAAAGAGAGGCGTGAGTAACTCGTACAGCGGAAGTTATCAGTTAATAATGAAACAAACTTGAAAGTTAAAAATGAAGAAAACCTGTTGCTACTGTAGAGTTAATTATTTTTTATTGTATTGTATTACAGTATTGTATAACAGTAGTAATAATGATAATAATAATAATGATAATAATAATAATAATAATAATATTAATATTAATAATAATAATATAGAAATTTATATAGCGCCTTTAGACAAAATATACAAGGTGCTTAGATATGTGGGCTAGGAACTTGATCAATGACTTTCTTCTCCACTAAAGGCCCCTTTGTGTATGTGTTACCAGCCCAGGTAGGCAATGCACCCGGTAACCCGGAACCAGCAACTCTCATCGTCCACCACAGGGACTGTCAGTACCGTACCAGTACACCGGGGTATCCCTCTACTCGTCTTGAATGATGTACTGGGTTCTTTATAGTGCACGCGGCCATTGTGTACACTGTGTCTACAGTCTATAGTCTTTATCCGAGAAGAATTCTACCACCACAACCATAGGCGAGTGTACCGTTCGAACCAGCGCCGATATTGCGGCTGTAGGTTGCGGCACTCCTGCTAACCGATCGGCCATTCGACTCATTAACATCAAAAATAAATTAAAATAGTATAATAATATTAATATTGAATAATAATGGTATTAATGATAAGAGAACAATAATAAGATAAGGATTAGTGCAAGAAAAGTCAGACTTCAAAGATAAAAATGGGAGTAAGCCTACGGTACATCATCAACTTCTGCCCACAAATCAATATTAGATTCAGAACTGGAATGGGGTTTTCTGACTGTGACGAACAACCGGTTAAATTTGAATTTAACAGAGCAAAGATCTCGCCAGCTGGTAGAGCACTAGAACATCGCGTCCCGCGTCCCGTTGTGAAGTACATTCAGATCGACTAATATGGCGACAATTAGCTTGTAATTTAACAAATGATCAGTGTAAAATCAGATTTTCAAGTGGAGCTTCCATTGTCGACTCGTTGAGAGATAGAATTGTAGTCTGCATGAATTTGGTGTAGGTATTATACATTATGATCGACTATTCACTAAAAACCACTATACGCTATTGTGATAATTTGACATTAAAACAGAAGTAGGCCTAACTTTGAAAAAAGACCAATATTTTAATTGAACCACCCGACAGGGTGGTGTGTTTCCTGACGGCAAGAGATGGAGATGACTTTCTCATCGGAGAAGCTCATGTTACTTTTCGGGTAACTTTCAACTTTCTTAGCTTTTTCGTTTGGAAGGCTTCAAGAAAAAGATTTTTTCCAACAATTCGACCCTCTTTGACGGCTGCTGAACCTGATTTCACCCCTACATCCAACCATTAATTTACTGGCAGAGGGGCGGGGTCCCCATCCCCTCTGGTACCGCCACAGATTTCTATTGAGCCAATCACGAGAAGCAATCACTGTTACGCAAGAACTCACATGGTCCTGTACTGTACAAGAACTAAACCCCATTAACTACTACTAGACAACTCCATGCAAAAAATTGATATTATGATTTTTTTTTGTCGACTCCTTGGCAAAGCTTACGATCGACAACAGTGTGTTTATCTCATTTACGTTTTTAATTATCTAATAACATCTCACATTCTAATTGTATAAGTGTCGTGGATTTAACACTTCAGAGCGTTGTGTACACGTTCCGCAATTTGTAACTTTGAAACCCTGGGTTGTTTTGACAGACGCAAAAAAAAAAAAAAAAATAAGGGTAGAAGAGAAAAATAAAAGATGATATTAAGAATGAAAATTTGAAAACAAGTTAGCGTGAACATTAGCTGGCTGTACATTTTAAGGTCATGGACGATGAATCGTTAGTGCTGTAAAGAAGGCTCGATGAGTGGAGATTAGATCGCTTGCCCCACATTCTCATGAACCTTTGAAGCACGAATATTCACTTCAGCACATTATATAGAACCCTCATAATATCGTTCACTTTATCAATATCAACATTGTAATTATCGCTTTCAAAGACCCTCTCATAGCTCGCTTTAATGTTATTGATATTTCGTGCTTGTCATTTTTAGTATATATTTTTCTCTTTTGTTTTTGGGTCAAATTAATGATAATGGTCATTTTTTATCGGTATTCAGGTGAACGATATTTGTCCAATCAAAATGAAAGGCTTATCCGTTAACCGTCATCAAAGTTATCGGCGTCTTCATCGACTGTAGGCCTACACTCACTTCGACTATACTGTCCAACCAATCAGAATAGTGACAGGAATACGCGCTTGTCCCACAAAATAAAACACGTGTTTCCCCCACAAATGCACGTATTTGAGTTGTTACGCTGTCTTTTTGTGGGATCTTAGCAATCCAACTGTCCATTTTACTGGTCTAATGTTATTTATTGTCGTAACACCCAAATGATTAGTTCTTAAAATCTTTCGCTCTCTGCATCAAATGTATTGTCATTAAAGCCTTCTATCGTCTATACGACTCGTTTCGTTAACGATTGGCGTTTTCGTAAAATGTATTATAGTTCTCTTTTCGCCAGCGCCTCAAATTGTTCCCTATTATCCTATTCAGCTTTATCGCTGTCGGCATAAACTGATCGTCTTTCTCTTCAAAATGCATCAGCATGGCCTAAATCGCTCTTCTTCTGTGTCATCGTTAGAGTGAAAATTTGTTGTTCATTTTATGCCGTTGACGTAAAATACATCGTCATTCTCTTCAAATGTGTCGCCATCGAAGTAATATCGCTCTTCTCTTCAAAATTATTGTCGTCGACGTGACACGTATCCCCCTTCTCTTCAAATATTGTCATCGGCATAAAATGTATCGTACTCATCACAAAGCGATTCTTCAATGTGATATCGTTATCGCCACATATTATGATTACTGTCATCTTTAACTATTCATCTTTAAATCACATTTATATTTTATAAGCTTATAACAAACATCAATCATATTTCATTCCATTGTAATTTAAAAAGGGATGAGCCATCTCGAAATTATGTGATTTAGAAATATATCGTCTGTGTTGATCTAATACATTTGAACAATATAATACAATATATTTCACTATAATAAAGATACAAAATATAATATGATAAAGGTATAGGCCTATGGTATATTATAATTATTATATATTGATTATATATAGGCCTATAAGATGTGTATAAGAGACAGACTATAGAGTAATAAATCCGATTAGAAGCAACAGATTTTCACACTCTTGCACATTTGTGGAACAACACTAGTTCAAAATGTATTACAATTAACAATTGTTAAGATTTCGTATTAAATCCGCCTGTATCATTTTTTTAAAATATTACCACAAACAGATGTTTTTAACTAAACTATTTCAAAAATTATTTATTTAGGTTTGGTTCCAGAACAGGCGTGCCAAATGGAGGAAGAAGGAAAAGACGTGGGGACGAAGCAGTGTGATGGCCGAGTATGGTCTGTATGGTGCTATGGTCCGACACTCCCTCCCACTTCCCGAGAGTATACTCAAGTCGGAGAAAACAGGCGAGCCTTGCGCCCCATGGTTACTTGGTAAGTGATGTAGGCCAATTGACCTAACTTACTTAATCATCATGCTCTGCATTTATAGTTCTCAAGCATCCAGTTACTTCAGATATGTCGATTTTGTGATTTTCATTTCAATGTTTCGTATTAATGTCCTTCTTTAAGTCATCGAAGAAAGCAACAATTTCAATAATAATAATAATAAAAATTATATTAATAATAAATAATGTGAGTATTGATAACGACCATAATACTAGCAACAATAATATTAATAAACTAATAATTCTATGCTCAATGTAATACACAACCTAATGCTTTACTTGAGTCAAAAAAGCTATAAAAACAAGAAGTTGCCAAACATAAGTAGGTTACTCGTTATTTGCCTGGTGACGATGAAACTACAAAGATGAGTTGGGAAATTTATGATTTAATTAATCAACTAATTATATGTTTTAATAAACATTGTATATGTATCACGTAGATGTTATGTAAATACAATACAATTAGGTCCGTATGGCACAAATTTAATATAGATGACGTCAAAGGCTACCGATCACTACGACAAAGACACTGGCTTATGTTTATATTATCATATCTATATTATTCAGCATAGCAAAAAAAAATCTTAAAGGGCATCCTCACGAAAATATTGAGATTGATGTATGGATTGCAGTGCGGCACGTAACATTATTTTTACGCGCGCGTAAATGGTACGCACAAACATTACGTCATCGGGATAAAATTTTGCTTAGATATACATAAAACAATATACATAATTTTGTTTTGATCTTATAAATATTTTACAGGTATGCATAAAAAATCAGTAGAGGTCGGAGGAAATGAAAGCGATGGAGAGGAAACAAATTCGACAGTACATTTTAAAGAAATTGAGCAGAAAACTGCAGACGAAAACGACCCAGATTCAATACGCTCAAACAGCATCGCGTCACTACGAGCTAAAGCATTGGAACACAGCGCAAAAGTCCTTAGTGAATGTCGGCTTACAAAAGAAACTTCTGTTGCCACGAGTCACCAACATTATCACAGCCCTTCAACACAATTAGACGTGAACATGAACGCCGATACTGAAGAAAATATCGACGTGACGACAACAGATGATGACGTCACAGGCAGAAGTTTTTAAATCTTATTATTTTTATTTCCTTTTATATTAATTTAAGGAGAGTTTTTCATCCAGCGAAGCTGACATTTGATAACCAGGATTATCTATATATAAGAAATATCGCTACTAGCAATCCTAGGCACATGTACTTAAATAAAGCCAATAGGCGTGTATGAAGCTTGGAGAATGTAATTGATTTGAATTTGTACCCAGGACTGGATTTTAGGCCAGCGCTCTCACCACAGTCCCACAGCTTCGATATAGGCCTATTCGTATTCTGTAAATATATAAAAGAGTACTTATTGCAATCAACATCCCAATAAAAATGCATCAACAATTATTATTATTATTATTATACAACTATTCATTTATGTTAATATTAAAAATTGTTAGAAAAACTGAATTTAAAATTATATATAAACGGATGGTCAGTTGATTGAACTCAATTTCGTAATAATGTAATTAAATTAATGTAATAAACGTAATAAAGATGAGGTTTTAAGATTCATCCTCTTTCTTTATGATACCTAACCAATATTTATGTTTGAGAATATACTTGCCTTTATATATATATATATTTAAAAATATCCGTTTGAAATGAATACGTGTGAAACATATGCTTATATGATAGGCGATTTCAAAACAATTTGTATAGCGTTATTTAAGCTTATATTATACAATTCACTAAATACCATTTGTAGAAGAAACTATATTAAACAGCAAATAGTGATCGTTCAAAGTAAGCGATACAAAACTTTAGGTCTATTTTATAACATTATTGTAATATCATTATCGCTAGAACATAGGCTTATCAAGTTTTGGTGGGCACAAATCACTCCTAGAAAAACAGTTATTTTCAATTATATCATTATTATTATTATTATTATTATTATTATTATTATTATTATTATTATTATTATTATTATTATTATTACAATAATAGTACTGCTATTATTACCATAACTTATTTATTGTATTATTATTTTATATTAAGCCTATATTAATATAACTCGCCAATAGGATGGAAATTGAATGCTTTGATTACATACCGGTAGCCTACAACTGTCAATTTTATTTAACTTTATTGGAGAGAATTTTAGAGTGACAAAAATTAAAGAATACAAGAATACTGTCTGCATTTAGCTTTAAAATGAGTCATTAATGTTTGTTAAATGCTATTTTGTTGTAACTCGTCACGTGGTTCTTTTCGTCACGGTTTTTCGTGATTAGCTGAGTGCAATTGCAATAAAAAAAATTAACAATGTATAGATTGATCGTTTTATACGGATACGAGTTAAAACAAACTGGTTCCATTTCAATGCTATATGATAAAGGAGACTCGGACTTTTTCGTTCATTCTAACGTCTACAAATACTTTTTAAATGAAAGTAAATTATCAATAGCCCTCCAGTGCAATAACCTTAATTGGTGCACACTATTCGTACCTACGACGAATGGGACGACGAGATGCTCAAACTATGCTCAGATGCTCAAACTATACCACCTAGGTTTAGCGCGGAGTGGGGCTGCGTCTGGAGGAGTTCGAACGAAGAAAAACATAATAGGCCTATCAGTGGTGGATCCAAAGATGTCCAAATGTGGGGCAGATCGAGATAAAACCATCCTAGAGTGTCCGGGGCATGTCCCCGTGAAATTTTCGTTTTCTGACGCCCGAAAATAATCTCTGAGGCGTTTTGGGCGATCAATTTTTTATTTTTCTATTTTTTTAAATTATTTTTTTAACTTCCCAAAAAGGGGCCGGGGCCGGCCCTGC